TTTTTATGTTTGTCCAACATGTTCGCTATCCCGCGTACAATAAAAGTCGATCACCTTAACAATAGACCAACTGGGTGTTTCTAATTTAAAAAAACAACGACAAAAAACTTGAATATTAAAAAAATAATACCATGACTATTACATGAAATCCTTTCAGTTATTAGTCAGCACATGATAAAAACGCTTAGCTATGAATATCGTTTTTTTGCCTTTTCAATTTTATATAAGTCTTTTGGAACTGTCGTCATATAACAACCAAAAGAAAAGAACGAAAACGATAGTTTTTTCATACATGAGCTGGGTAATGCACATACGCTAAAAAGGATTAAAGGGGCATTTGCTACGATTTAGAAAAAAAATTGAAATCAGATTCTTTTTGTTTCAAGTACTAATAAAACTGGAATTGTAAAATAAGATTTCGTTATAAGCAGTCAGTTTGGCCCAAATTTGCCAAAATAAGCTGAAAAACACCGCTGGTGTATTATTGACTTGCAATACAAGTCAATAAGTTAACCTCATTGAAATCCGTATTCATGTTACCTTCAATTAAATTCCTTAGCTGTGGATGGGCTACGCATGTACTAGGCGTGTTCAGCTATTAAAGGAAAAGCTGAGTCATCATTGAAAGTGAAACAATGGTGAACCATTTGGTTGACTGATTCGATCCACAAACAAAATTATTCTCATACATGTTAACACGATGATTACCATATTTTTTAGCCTATAATATGAAATTAAACAAACCTAGAAAAATCCAATTGCACGTGCTCGTCATTTATTTATATTTATATTTATGTTTATACCGGATTATATTACGGTCGGCAGTCTTTGGAAGTAATCTCGATAGTTAACTAGTGGCGTCTAGACTAAAATATGCACGAAATACTGGTACATATTATCGAGTCCATGCATTGTTAATTGTATATTTTATGCTTTTGTAGTTTAGATATACGTTTTAGTATGTTATAAATCAGATATGAGAGTTTGAGTCAAATCGTTGAACATGAATTTGACAGACAATGCCCCTTTAAACAATTTGAGTGTGATTGAGATAGTTGTATTTTTCGATGATTTAATTAACACTTCTATAATCTAAAGGTCATTTAACGTTAATTGACGTTTATGCAAAACAGTCCTGGTGTTTACAAGAGTTCCAAGTGGTGAAGTTTAAATCATTCCTTCGAAACCTTTACGGACGCCACCACGAGCTGGTTTAAAGTTTGGTGACTATGTTGAACGTATCTTTTACATCAAACTTGAAATAAAGGATACAACAGAAACAGTTAAATCTGCCTCATATCTTAACTTACATCTAGAAATTGACAATGAGGGTCTGCTGAAAACAAAACTGTACGACAAAAGAGATGATTTCAGCTTCCCAGTTGTTAACTTTCCATTTCTATGTAGCAACATTCCAGCAGCGCCTGCATATGGAATATATATCTCCCAGTTGACACGATATACCACATTAGAACTATTCTTTTTTCACTGCCTGTGAATTTTCCAAAATGTTTGAGAGATTATGCACTTGACAAGGGATGCATAAATACATTTTCTCCAATATACAGACTGGTCAGTATAACTTGTGATGTAGCTCTGTTCCGTCTTTTTAAGCTAGTAAGATCGAAACCTTTACATGATGAAAAGAGGAAATTCCTTCCAGTTCAGTTTTCAAATAAAGGAATTGATGCAATCAACATCAGCAACTTCTTCATCACAAGGAGGTAACATCTAAAATTCCACACCTAAAGTATTTATCTATAAGCAAGCATTCCAGGACCTTGATTTAGAAGAATCCCTAAAAAAAATCCTCTGACATGTGACTGTTCCCACTCGCCTTATATTTATAGCCCCTCTGGCCATGTTATTACTAGGGATCTAAACATAATTCAACATGAACATCTCCGAAAGGTAATATCTCATGGTCCTAAGTTCAGAGAACCCCAACACATCAATTGGAACCATAACTTCAAAATAATTATGGATTTCATTGAGGACTACGCCAAAGCATGGGCTAAACGAGAAGAAGTTGAACTGGACACTTTGTCAAAATGGATCAAAAAAATCAGGTCTCCGATAAAACGTCGAATTTATAAGTTAAAAAACTGTGTGAATGATCGACCAAAGTCCGTTTTCAGAGACAAAGAAGTGATGAAATGTCTATCATCTCTTCACAATAAATATGTTGTTGTTCCTGCGGACAAAGATTCAAATAATATTGTCTTTATATGTAAATCGTACTACTACGAGTGTCTTGTAAACGAATTAGGAATAAATGATCTCTCAGGTAATCCCACATACAAAAAACATATCATTTGACCAGGATGAGATTTTGGCGAATCATAAGTCCTTTATGGCTTCAATGAACATTACATTGACCAGCAAATCTGAGGACTTACCTTGTTTGTATTGGATACCTTAGCTTCACAAAATTCCGTACAAACAACGGTACATTGTCCGCAGTGATAGGGGGTCTTCAGAAATACTGTGAAACTGTTTACTCGCGTAGTTGTATTAACCATATGTGGATTCTAAAAAAAACCTAAAGAACTTATGGATAATTTTAAATCTCGATCTTTCTCTGAAATTAATTCTATCAAAAGTTTTAATTTTTCAATCCTGTATACCACCATTCCCCATGTGAAATTGAAAAATCATCTAAAAGAAATAATCCACAATGCTTTTCAATATAAGAATGGAAGCATACGCTATAAATTTATTACTTTGGGATACCATACGGCATATTTTGTTAATAGTGAACAAAAAGGTAAAACATGCTACATAGAGGAACAAGTGATCAGTATGTTTAATTTCTTATTGACAACATATTTGTTGAATTTGGAGGTAGACTTTTTCAACAAGTTGTCGACATTCCTATGGGAACTAACTGTGTGCCTCTCCTTGCCGGCCTCTTCTTATTTTCATATGAGTCGGAGTTCCTTCAGACACTTGTCAAAAACAAGAAGATCAAAGAAGCCAGATCATTTAATTTCACATTCAGATATATTGATGATGTTCTTTCCATCAACAATCCAATCTTTTCTGATTGGGTTCCATTAGTATATCCTCCAGAACTAGAAATTAAAGAAACAACAGACACGGCTTCCTCCTCCTCATTTTTAGACTAATACCTTGAATTTGACATAAGCGGTCATATCAGTACCAGAATCTATGACAAACGAGACGATTTCAATTTTGACCTTATCAATTTCCTCCGCCCTAGTAGCAATATACCAACTTCACCGTCATATGGGATATACATTTCCCAACTCATTCGGTATTCAAGAGCATGCAGCTGCTACCCATAGAAACGTCGCCATTGTCTGAGCAGAAAGTTGATGAACCAGAGTTATGTCTCGTCCTTTTTCTGAAAAAGTTCATCAAGAGATACCAAGACCTTGTTGATAAATATTCCGTATCAACTTCACAAATAATGCATGATGGTCTTGAAGTATAGATTCTAGGTACTGTCATTGTGTATCATCTTAATTATATGTTATAGTGTTCTTTTATTTGTCTCTGTAAATTATTAACCTTTACTGTTTAGTCCATTTTTTGTAATACCCTTTTTGTCGTGGCTCAGTACTTATGCATCCCGCAAATGTGTTGTGCTGTGGTAATTATTTGTATTCTTGTCTTTCATTTTTGCTTATGTGCTTTGTCTATATGCCATTTTATTTTTCTTTGTTGACATATTTGTTTGTTTTTATAGTGATTACGATTATAACACAATATTGACTGCTGTACCCTTATTTTTGACATTTCTGTCTGTTTGTTTTGTTCACACATTGTTTTCAATATAATGGAATTTTATGCGACTTTCATACAAGTAAGAGGTTTAGCTAGCTATAAAACCAGGTTTAATTCACCATTTTCCATCACAGGAAATGCCTGTACCAAGTCAGAAACATGACAGTTGTTTTCCAATCGTTTGATGTGTTTGAGCTTTTGATTTTGCCATTCGATAAAGGACTTTCCGATTTGAATTTTCCTTGGAGTTCGGTATTTTTTGTTATTTTACTTTTTTCCAGGGCTTGTCATGATTTCCTTGATATATGGTTGCTGCTCACAAGGAAGCTATCAAATCAAGAGTTCCAAGTGGTAGAGTTAAAATCATCCCTTAGAAAATTTTACGGACCCCATCACGAGTTGGTTGACCGTTATGGAATTTCTGTTTTACAGATGACGACGGATATGTTCCAATCGCCGTTACCACAATCTCGTCCTTCTTTTGCCCGACTGTGACCTACCGAATGAGATTTATCACCAGGTTTGTACTTACATGAGCAGCACGACGGGTGTCACATGCGGAGCAGGATCTGCTTACCCTTTTGGAGCACCTGAGATAACCCTTGTTAGATAACTAGGTAGGAAATATACCTTTTTGTGGAAAATTAACGTATTGGTGTTATTTTCATGACGTCACCAATACATTTTGATTTTCCAAGAAAATTCAAGAAAACAGGTAATTTTCCGTTGATGTTTTGGACTGGAAACATAGAGCGCATGCGTCGACAAGAATTACCTTTCAACATAATGTTTGTTATAACATTTTGAATATTTGATTTGAATATTCAGTTCGTCGAAGACTGCGCTCTATGTTTCCTACGCCGATATTTAGTAGAAATCTCTACTTTGGCATATTGTGGGTCTAAATGTTAACGCTTCATAAGAAAAGCTGTACTGAAATAGTTCTATTTCACTTTCCTACGTGAACTTTCGTCATCTTGAAACATGCGTTATCGCCAAACAAATGAATGAACTTAATATTCGGGGCCATATTTGGCCCTTACCGAACTTACTCCTTAAATCTTTCTTTTTTATGATATTTTTTCAAAATAATTACGGCTTTTGAATTCCTTTAAATCATCTTACAGTATATTTAAACGGTTTTTAGTGTTTAATCTACTTGAAAATAATGTCAAGACCTTAAACATGTTGATGGGTTAACGGAAAGGACCACTTGATCGTTTTTAATTATACAACAAGGAAGATACGAATACATCCTGTTACCATATTTCACCTTATTTGTTGTAGAAATATTTTTGCAGACATATGCATGTACCAGAGAGATGTACTGGACAATAATTTTTTACTTCTTTTTCTATATATCTACTAGATTTGTAGCAGGTAATTTCATTTTTATTTGAAGTCGCATGCACATCATATAGATTGCCGTTTAATTGTGTGAGTATCATCAAGACATTTTCCTTCTTCAAAGCAGAAGAATCAAAATTTATATTTTAGTTTTTAGAATAAAGAAGAAAATCATAATTATTAGCACAAAAATATGCTTTATCTAATATTACAAGCACAAAACCAATAATGCAGGTTTGGATAGGTCAGGCTCACCTATATGAAAAGCTCAAATACTTATGTTACTGTTTGTTCATGATAAAACCACAGAACTTGAAGACGATATGTAATCATAAAACTATTATATAACCTTAAAAAATCGGGAAACAGGATTTGGTTGTGTAGCAGGTATGATACTCGCATACACATTACAATGTAGCTCCAAGTCAAATTTCAGAGATGTAGCATTGTATTACTAAACATTTCTTATGCGAAAAATACTAAAGAAAATTAAACTATTTCCGGCATTTATCCCAAGATTTTTTAACATCAGACATTTTATAACTTTTTGTAATTTTACAAAGAGAAGATTTTCAGATGAAAAGTGTGAGTGCTTTGTATATTATTGAAGAAATCACATATCACAGTGTGATACGAAAAATATCTCTTCATGCGGGAAATAGATAACAGGCCACAAACATAAGAGAAAAAGGTAACAAACAAAAACTGAGGGAATCGCATGAACCTAACAGGATCGAGACCAGGTGCGTCGACATGGTAGGCATCTCCCGATATACATGCATCATCGCCATATGAATTCACACTCAGTCAAAAAGTCACAATCGGGGGATAGGACACAAAATGTGAAACATTGATTTCGGAATGGTTTATATACTAGTGATGTAATAAGATAGATATGTGCATCATGAACTTTTGAATGTAAACTGCTCCTTTAATGACATTATCTAATTTATATCTTGCAAAACGATTATACTGATTTCGTTGCAAAACACAATTGACTATCTACTTATGCTTACTGTTAAAAATTAACATGATTTTCAGATGCATCAAATGTAAGACTCGCGAGTGGAAAATCCTTTCACGAAAATGGCGCTGATGTCTATGAGGGACGCTTGGAAGTTTTTTACAACAACTCATGGGGCATTGTCTGTGATGATGCCTTCAATAAATCGGCAGCAATAGTGGTTTGTAGAATGTTAGGATTTTACGGGTAAATATCTATATTATCTTAATCATATCTCTCAATACGAACGACAGGAAGTAACTGATTACTAACTGTATAACCACTTTTGAAACATAAACTAGTTTTTTAAACATTGTTCTTTGGTCACACTTGAAACATATTTTTCTGTCACAATATTTTCGAAAGCAACTGTGTAGAGTCAAACTGACTGAAAGAAAAATTTAAGGAGAAACAACCTCAAAACAAAATGTGTATTTAATGTTATCGATAGTTTCAGAGACATATAATACAATTGTATTATATGTCTCTGATAGTTTGAATACGAGATGAACTTTGGTAGTGATACTCCGCTATGATTATTCGGTCAACAGAAAGTTAATGAGCGATGTTTGTTTTTTTTTTGATTGGCGGACATATGCAAAACATTTTTAACTTGATGTTCTAAGGATTATTGTTCGCAACATTGTTTCAGATTTGCCATACTTTTTAGAGAAGTTTTTTTTAAATTCTTTATATATGAATTTATACCTATAAATTACAAATATAAACCTAAATTCTACAGTCACGGCCAAATCTGACAAGGGAAGGGATCCTGCTTTTTTTATATATCAAGAACCGTATACTAATTATATCAATAAAAGATCGCTTTTCTAAAACGTTTATTGAAATGAACTTTTCATATATTCTTTGAAATACATGTTCTTAGTAACAGTAGCAATCTTGGATGGACAGTCACAAACTTGAAAGGGGAGTGTAGCGGTATAGAATCTAAAAAAAAGTGCTACTAGAAGATCATTTCACCATGGTTTTGTTTATATATTTAAGGCGCACTACTCCAAATTTAATGACTATTTTATGCATATAATCGTATCTTCAATTTCTAGTATAGACGACTATGCGTGTCACTTGCCGGTCCATAAAGACCCATATATTTTGTACTTACAGGTTTTGTTTTTGCCAGTTTTAACAATGCACTATAAAAATTAATATGTTATATGTCCTCTATATAGCTTATCTAAAAGACAAGATGTAAAATATAACATTACGCCACCTTTGTTTTTTAATCGTGAAAATGGAAGCCATTGTAGGGATGACGCGCTGTCAATTTAGCTCTTGAAAACCGGTATAATTGGTCTCAAAAGCCATACAATATATGATCTGCAAATTTTTGTTCTTCCCTCGGTGGCTTCTGTGAAATCGTGGCAACACCGCCCGCACTGATCCAGCAACCTATACAGTGTGACGCTCAACTATCTAAGCTATTTTCCAATCGAGTAATACCTTTCCTCGTCGCCTTTATCTAGGGTTGTAACACAGTACATGTACATCATGTATAGTGGGAAGAAGATGCGTACATTTCATATCAGCTATGTTTTGTCTGTCGTAAATGATGATAATGTTACTAACCATGCCGCCACATCAAATTTTAATTTTATTATAAACGTCTAAACATGTGACATCTCTATGACATACATTCTCAATCGGATAACCCATGGTTATGCGGGGCTAAGACCATAATATATATAAATCATAAGTCTCAAATTTAGCCCAAAAATGTCAGATATGCAAATTTTTATTCTTCCCTCAGCGGGATTCGAACCCTTGCTACTGTGACATCGTAGCAACACCACTGTTTACGTTGTACTTGTAGTTTAGCATTTAGCATTGGGGTATATGCTTTATTAAAGCAATGGTCCATTTCTTCCCAGTATACTATAATCAATGAACTAATGACACTTTGTTTTTAAGATGAACAATCATTATTAAATAAACCAGATAAAAGAACCATGCAAACCCATGGACTGAATAATTAATTAACTGTTGTTATATTGACGCACAGTGAGTGGCATGTACTCCATGCTGGTACATCACTGTTGAAAGTTAAATTTGGGGGGAAAGAGTGGGGGTGTTTAGCGCTTAGAAGCATGTTTACCTCGCCACATTTTTTATTTGTTTGTCCCTAGTAAGAAGCCCCAGTGGTTGTCGTTGGTTGCTGTCTGTCATTACTTGTTTTTCGTTTGTTGTTTTATCATAAATGAGGCCGTCGCTATTCACGTTTGAATTGTTTTATATTTTGCATGTCGGGCCTCTAATAGATATAAGAAGATGTGGTATGAGTGCCAATGAGACAACTCTCCACTCATGTTCCAATTTATAAAAGTAAACCATTATAGGTCAAAGTACGGCCTTCAAAACGGAGCCTTGGCTCACACTGAACAGCAAGCTATAAAGGGCACCAAAAATGACTACTGTAAAACCATTCAAACAGGAAAACCAACGGTCTAATCTATATAAAAAACGAGAAACGAGAAACACTTATGAACCACATCAACAAACGACAACCAATGAACATCAGGTTCCTGACTTAGGTCAGGTGCAAACAAATGCAGCGGGTTTAAACGTTTTAATAGGCACCAACCTTCACCCTAATCTGGAACAATAGTGTAACATCACAACATAGAAAGATACACTATAAAATATCAATTGCAATGACTTAACTCAATCAAAAGACATATTAACAAAAACAAGCGAACTTTCACTGAACGAATAAATTTGATCTCTGACACAATGTAAAAACAAAATTAATATAACAAGGGAGTTAGATGTAAAACAATATCAGAATGACAACCATAAACTTGGACAAAATGCCGCCAAATAGAATAACGTACACAGGTAAATAAAGATAATTTTGTTGTAAGGTATACATGGAGTACGGAAATATTTTTTACAAATTAAATAATTTTGTTGTTCATAGTACGAGAACAGAAGTGAAAATTTATCGTCATACTAAACACTTATCAAAGGTGATAAATATTAAAAACAGTGAGACGAGATATAACACTTAATAAGTAAACATTAAATAAAAAAATACATAACAAATTGTATCAACAAGTCAAATAACACGAAAGTACGATTTGAGAGTACTCGCAGTTACTGAAAGCTAGTAAAAAGCCAAAAACAATTAATAATTTAAAATCACGCATCAGAGAATTAAATCAACTAAAACACATCCCAGGGATTAAGTGTTTTAACGTCATGGACAGTCAAAGAAGACATGAATAGTTTACTATACGGTTTGGGTTTTGCTCATTGACTGTTTAAGGTCGCACGGTGACCTATGTCTTTTTGTCTCTGGTGTGTGGTTGTCTTATTGGCAATCATATATCCTTATTTTTATATATTCAGGTCGATTACAAATGAAAATATACTAAATAGATAGGTTCTGCAAAGTGGTCGACCGGGATGAAGGGTGAAAATTTTGACAGTCGCTAGAAAATTGGTGTATGTTGATGGTATGTTGTATGTTGGATGTGTACTGATTGATGTTTTAGTCTTAGATACATGATTTTTTTTATTAGTTGTTATTGGCTTTGAACCATCTGTCAGTAACTAGGAGTACTCTCAGATCTGTACGTTGTGTCTTTTTGTTGTTAGGGATGAGGGGTGTATAAATAACCTGCCTCGTGCTTCTGCGTTTTTGTTTTTGTTTGATGTTTTTCTGCTTTGTATCGATCTGATGAGTTAAGCCCTTTTCAACGGATTTTTATAGTTTGTTCTAATGTTGTGCTGTAACACCACTGCTGCAGGTTTTAACCCCACCACATTTTTTATGTGCCTGTCCCAAGTCAGGAGCCTGTAGTTCAGTGGTTGTCGTTGGTTCATGTCTGTCATATTTGTCATATTTGTTTTTAGTGAATTGTTTGTTATAAATTAGGTTAGTTTTCTCAATTGAATTGTTTCATATTTTTCATGTCGGGGCCTTTTATAGCCGACTATACGGTATGGGATTTTCTCATTGTTGAAGGCCGTACGGTTGCCCTTTAATTGCTTACATCCACTTCATTTGAACTTTGGTGGATTGTTGTCTCATTGGCAATTTTACCACATCTCCTTATTTTTATATTAAGGGTAATTGGCCACCTACGGGTTCCTAAAAGAGTTTTTATCGGATATCCGTCCGGGAATAGCTGCTTATTTAGGTGTCAGACCAGCTATTCACCCACTCCAATTTAGTAAAAGTAGTCATTATTTTTTATAAATTTTAATATAACTTATTTAAAATTTCCAGAAAACCAGGGTTATTTTTAAAGACATTTACTTCCGACCGGTGGTGTTTCACTACATGACTTAAACATTGGTTGAAGATTGTCATATAGAAAGGTGATACATATGCAATTCATGATATACCTTGTTTCTATGAAGTTAAACTTATGGTGAAATATTTAGAAAGCTGTGAAAATTGAAAAAAAATGGTTAAATATATAGGGGTTTTGAATTGGTGGTAAATAACCAACATAGGTATTTTTGCATGACACAAACAAACAAACAAACAACCACTGTCCCAGGTTAAGGTACGGGTTGGCGATTTCAAACTAGTTTTTCCCCGCCACATTCTGTATGTGCCTGTCCTAAGTCAGAAGCCTGTAATTCAGTGGTCGTAGTTTGTTGCTGTATATCATACTTGTTTTACGGTCATTATTTTGTACATAAATCAGGCAGTTAGTTTTCTCGTTTGAATTGTTTAACATTTGTCATTTCGGGGCTTTTTATAGCTGACTATGCGGTATGGATTTTCTAATTGTTGGAGGCCGTACGGTGACCTATAGTTGATAACTTCTATGTCATTTGGTCTCTTGTGGAGAGTTGTCTCATTGGCAATCATACCACATCTTCTTATTTTTATGAACAAACAACAATTTTAAATAACGTTAACAAATACAGAAACTTATTGACCTACTTTCAATTTTTCACTTTAGATTTTTTCCACTTCTTTTATACTAAGTGAATATTTGACAGTAATGCAATGGTACTACTTTCGTACCGTAATGGCAGTAGGCGAATAACCCTTGACAATGTAGGATGTAATGGATTGGAAACAGATATAATGGATTGTACTCATGCGCCATGGGGAATTCATGATTGCCAACACACTGAGGATGTCGGAGTTAGATGTGGTAAATATTTTTACTTTTTTTTTTCTCCTTCAATAATAATGTTATCAATCTAGACATTGGTTCAGCATAGAAATTATATTAAAACTTCCGCTTGAAATTATAGGTAACTCTTGATTATAATCAAAATTATTTTACAGAGCAAAAGTGGAGGTTGAGAAAAGCTATGGAAGGTGTTGTTGTTGAGTTTAAAACCAGTAATTCATACATACAAGTGTGTAACAGAAACTTTGACGACGAAAAGGTGTGCCAATTGATTGGTTTAGAAAGGTATTTACTAGTTTGTAAATTAACTGAATTTCAAAGAGAATATCTGATTATGTGAAAAATAACGGATAGAGGTCTGATACAAATGAGAAAATATTTTCCCAGAAATACATATACAGCAAATGAGTAAAATTAGCAAAGGAACAGCGATTTGTTTATAGTTTTTCTTCATCATAAAAATATAGGGACGCCAAAAAGGGGAATATTTCCTACAGCAATAACAAGTGACGTAGTAATGCCGAGTTCAATATTATCTTCGATATTTATCAATAATCACAACAAATATCATTGATGCATGAGGGTAATCTATACATGTCATATAAAACAGTGAAGTATCTTTCGTTAACCGAACAAGAAAATCATTAAATAGAAATGAAAAAAACATCATGATGTATTTGTAAGCATTATATTGAATTTGGTAATGATTTCTACGGACTTGACAAATATATCTCAGATCATGATTATGTCAAAACTCAATTAGAACGAAAAAGCTTAACAATTAGAAGATATATCATGAACACAAACTCCGACCTAGCTGGGAAACGTTTAATTGTAATAAAAGATATCTAGTATGTTAGTCAGTTTGTATTTTGGAAATTATTTCGGTATTAATGATATTATATCCTGGATTTGTTTGAAAGTTCAGGGAATTTTGCGAAACATATCATTTAAAAGTTTCTTGATTACATATTGTTTGAAAAGATTATATTATGTAAATGAAGGACATTTTTAGAAATCGTTCATAATTTATGTATAAGCTGATGTCTGAGTGGCAGATCACTCATATATTTTTTTAATTCAAATAGCACCTTCAAATCCTATTTCAGTCATGATTTTGTCGTCGATGTCACCTCTTCCACTTCAAAAAGTCAAGACTTCGTGGATTTAAATTGTACTGGTACAGAAGAGCTTATATCACAATGCAAAGCAACGAATCATTTACTGAGTGAATGCAAGACTGGCATGACAATTTTTAAATGTAAGCTAAAATGTTTTACTCATCAAACGAATAACATTCATTATCATAAACAAGTATGCAACAAGTAATTTTCCACCTACAATCACAAGTTACCTGCAATTTAAAAAAAAACACATATTTCAAAGATTTTTGGTAATGTCAAGTTAATGTTATACTATATTGCATACCTTACACGTTATGTTGCTTTCGTTTTATCTCCAATATCATGAATATGTAGATAAGGAATATATCTCCCTCATGCAAAGCTCTGTTACCTCTCTGGATTTGGCTATCCTCTAGGTAATTTTTTGGTTTTGTCAGGCTCTTGAACGTTTGTATTTGGTTTTAGATTTTCAAAATATTTCGACCTCATCACTAAATAGACATTAAATGTCGAGATGCACATCTGGTACAGCGACATTTGTACCGTTAATGTTATTAAAAGTCCACACAAATGAAATTGAAGAAAGCCAACATTTATATACTAGATAGAAAGGAGAACAAAGCGCCAAAAACGTAATAGCATTAGTATGTTCTAAACTGCTTATCCAAAAAACGTATCGGATACTGTTGAAAAAAAACCCAACATTTTAACAGATTTTCAACAATACTTTTTTTATTAGAATCGATGGATTTCAGCTAAATTTACGATATGTATAAAAAGTATCAACATACAATTCTGTATGGATTATGGTTATTACGAAATTTTCGCAGCACACATAATAAAATTGAGAATGGAAATGGGGAATGTGTCAAAGAGACAATGACCCGACCATAGAGCAGACAACAGCCGAAGGCCACCAATGGGTCTTCAATGCAGCGAGAATCTCCCGCACCCGGAGGCGTCCTTCAGCTGGCCCCTAAACAAATATGTATACTAGTTCAGTGATAATTGACGTCATACTAAACTCCAAATTATACACAGGAAACTAAAATTAAAAATGATACAAGACTAACAAAGGCCAGAGGCTCCTGACTTGGGACAGGCGCAAAAATGCGGCGGGGTTAAACACGTTTTTTGAAATCTCAACCCTCCCCCTATACCTCTAGCCAATGTAGTAAAAACAAACGCACAACAGTACGCACAGTAAAACTCAGTATATGAGAAGTCCGAGTCCGATGTCAGAATAGGAAACAAAAGAAAATAAACAAAATGACAATAATACATAAATAACAACAGACTACTAGCAGTTACTGACATGCCAGCTCCAGACCTCAATTAAACTGATTGAAAGATTATGTCTTCATCATATGAATATCAGGCACAATCCCTCCTGTTAGGGGTTTAGTATTATACCGTCATAAAATATATGAGAAGAACATAACCCGTGTCATGCCAACAACTTGTTTTAGAATAAATGTGTTTAATTCCGATGCAAAGACCCTATAAGTGATCAATATTAAAGCCAAAATATGCAATCTTTAATGACCTGACAACAGTATCGTAACTATATCCCTTCTTAATAAGTCTGTTTAAAGGTTTTGTTAGCTTTTGAGGTGAATACTGACATTTTTGTGCTTTGTAAAGAACATTACCATAAAAGATTGGATGTGAAATACCCTAACGTATAAGATGTCTGCATGTTGAGTTATATTTACGAATGATGTCCTTGTACCGATGATAAAATTTAGTAAATGTTTTGACTAGTTTATGATACCGAAAACCCTGTTGTAATAATTTTTCAGTAATACATAAATTTCTCTAGCTAAAATCTAATACGTTGTTACATACACGAGCGAATCGTACAAGTTGAGATATATAAACACCATAAGATGGTGACAAGGGAACGTCACCATCTAAAAATGGATAATTAACGATAGGAAATGAAAAATCATCTCTTTTATCATAAATTTTTGTATTAAGCTTCCTGTTAATGATATAGATATCAAGATCGAGGAAGGGACAGTGGTCATTGTTAGTATTAGCTTTATCTAAAGTAAGTTCAACAGGATAAATTTCTTTAGTATACATACTGAAGTTGTCATTATTGAGAGCCAATATATCATCCAAATATCTAAAAGTATTGTTAAATTTTTGTATCAGATGTTGTTTCGATAGGTCTTTGCTGATTTTAGTCATAAATTGTAACTCATAACAATACAAAAACAGGTCCGCAATAAGTGGTGCACAGTTAGTCCCCATTGGAATTCCGATAACTTGACGATATACGGAATCTCCAAAGCGAACAAAAATGTTATCAAGTAAAAATTCATGGGCAGATATAGTATCAAACCATGTCCAATTGACATAGTTCTTTTGTTTGTTGCTACTAAAAAATGACCTAAAAGAGTTTGAACATATGTATTCGCATTCCGACTTTTTAAATGCCCATTTAATTAGGTGTGTGAATTTTTTCTTAATAAGAATATGAGGCAAAGTGGTATATAGGGTAGAAAAATCAAAACTTTGAACAGATTCAAAATCACCAATATATGCATGTAATTTATCCAGTACTTCCAATGAGTTTTTGACACTCCAAAAGTAATTAATTCCACTATTTTCAAAGGCCTTATTTGAACAATTTATTATCAGGTTTTTGATTGTACCAAGTGTACTAGTAAGTAGAATAGACAATTTAGTAGTGGAACAATGACTTGAAGACGAAATAAATCTATATTTGTAAGGTGATTTGTGTAGCTTCGGAAGCCAGTACATAGTTGGGACTTTCATTGTATTTGGTTCTGCTTGTAAAGAAGTAGCTAATAGTTTATGTTTGTTACAGATATCGTTTTCTGAAAAAGAAGTCAGTTGGAATGTTGGTGAATTCGTGATTTCCTTTTGCAGAACCTCAATGTAAAATTTACGTCAAACTATAATGATATTATTAGCAGCTTTATCAGCCGGGACAAAAACAAATTCCTTGGCTAGTTCTTTTAGTTTATGTTTGATACGAGAAATAGGATTTTTATGGTTGTTGTTAAGAGTAAAATGTTCTTTAAAATGTTGTATACGTATATCAACTATCTTCATTACTGAATTAAAAAAAGAGTCCAAAGATTTTTTGTCAGCTTTTTCCCGTTTTATCCATTTCAAACAGTAAGCACGAAGTGAGTCGTGGATGATATTACGACACTCATTCCAATTAATAATTGACGCGGGGCGATATTTAGGTCCTTTACTGAGGAATGATTTTAACACTCGGTCGCGAACGATGTTAAGGTCTCCTGTTATAACATGGGAAATGGGGCCATAAGTGTATTCGGAATTACTACAATTACATGACGTAGGTGTATTTTCACTGATATTTACATCTTTACAGACTTGGCTATAATTAAACACAAATTTCCGGGTAGATTTCTTGTAAATATAACAAATAAGAGGGAGTTCAGTATTATCAAAATATCCAGGAATTTGTTCTTTAACAGAATGGTCGTTAAAAATACCGGCAATATTTCCAAAATCAAAACCTTTATTGACATACTTTATTTTAATAAAATATTTTTTATGATCCTCAGGGCGATCAATTTTGGGAAACAGTTTAGAATAACAATATGCCATTATAATTTGAACGAGTTCATACTTAGGACTGCAATATGAAATTGTGTTGCAATCCCCTAAAATTTTATTTAATTTATTTATAGGTATAGAACAGAGCTTGGTTAATAGATAATGTCTGCCGTTGTTTTTTGAAATAGAAATTAGGTCCGAAATATTTGTATGGTTGGTCCGGAATTTTCTTTTATTGCGATTTTTTCTACGCCCACGAGAACGGTTTTTACGAACAGTTTTAGAAACTATATCCAAAATGTTAACAGAATCGGTTCTTGATATATTACCAATTCCCACAAGACTCCTTGGAACGAACATATAAAGGACTTTAAAAATAACTGGTAACGTTTATTTTGTATTTACCCTATTTTCAATCAAATCTGTAATTTTATATAGCATGAAATAATAGTCTTGTCATATTATGAATTTGACTGTTGTTTTTATGTCCTTTTGATACTTAATAGTCGAAAATCATCTAATGCGACTTTTTCAGGCTTACATCAGAGACTTATACACGGTACTACATCTTATAATGGACGATTAGAGCTTCACCATGATGGGAAATGGGGAACTGTATGCGATGATGGATTTGGTGATAATGAGGCATCTGTAGTTTGTAGATATTCAGGGCTGTCCTGGTCAGTTGTTTTTGTTTTTACATTCTTATGTTTTACTTTCTTTTGGGCCTTATATAAGACTTTTAAAACGATGTTCAACTTGTTTTTAGCATGAACTTTTTAAATAGTTTACATGATCTGTCATTAGTATTTTCGAGATCGAAAGGGATAAACAAAGTTGTAATTTTCTTAAAGATTATGTTTTAACGAAATATATTTAAAATATCTATACGAAGAATAATTTTACTACATCAGTCTGGTGTCCTAATGATAATTGCTGTACTACTATATGCGGTAGTATCATACTCATCATCTATGACTCTAGTATAAATACAAATGATTAGTGATAGCCTCGGTCATCTCCCTTAGCCTCGAGTATCTGCGTTCATCAAAACAAGATATCGAACATGGACTGCACATGTTGGATGGAATTACAAAGTAAGATATTCACTCCCAGGGGAAAAAATTATTATGAAATTTTCCGACATACATACAGTATAACAATATCAATATACACAGTTATGTATTGATGAAAACTGACAACTGTCCAATTGTGACATGCATTAATGTCTTCTTAATTCTACTTATATAAAAATCATGCCTTAAATCAATTAAGTGAAGAGCACACGAATAGAAAATGTCTCCCTCAAATATTAACTATATTTTCAACAGGTTCATTTTACTCTCTAATTTCTATCTTGCTTTTGGGAAATAATATAAGGAAATGAATATAATTCATATTTTATTGGTATGCTTAATATTATAAATTGCCCCTGCAAGACTTGGCGATAAAGCGCGAAATAGGCATGCATACCCTTCAGTTGTCATTTAAAAGTTGAATGTTTCAGCGAACAAAAAGAACGTCCTTCCCTAGTCGTTAGCCTTTTGTAAAAACTTAACCTTCGTGAAATCAAAAATATTCGGTTACTTTATAAAATAAGGAGAAGTGGTATAAATGCCAATGAGACAACTATCCACCAGAGACCAAATAACGTAGATGTTAACAACTAAAGGTCACCGTAGGATCTTCAAAAAAACAAAAAACGAAAATCAAATATTATTTACAGCAACAAACGACAACCACTGAATTACAAGCTCTTTACTTTTGACAGGCACATGCAGAATGTGGCGGGGTTAAACATATTTGTGGGCACCTATCCTTTCCCATAATCTTGGACAATGGTGTAACAGCAAAAACATAAGAACAAACTTTAAAAAATCAGTTGAAAAGGGCTTAAATCATCTTGTACTATGTTATAATACATACCTTATTGAATCGAACAATAATTGGTTGCTAGGAATGTTTATAAACCGGAAATAAATTTCCAAAAAATCAGGTACCCTTCTTGGGGTTGAAAATAGTACCATGCAATAGGTTATGCTCTGCTGAATCAAAAACTCAATGTAGCAGTCCACCATCAGCTGTATCGACACAGTGCTAGAAAATGAAAATAACAGTTAATACATTTAGAGCGTCCGAAGCTCTTTTCTGAAATGACCTTCACAAAGAACACTCACAGCTAATATTGAAAAACCAAGGACGTACAGATAACTCAAATACGTAAGGAGCCAGAAGATCAAAGTTGACCTAAACAGAATAGCTAAATCCACTTAAATTCAAATTTTTCTAAGGCAACTGAAACTTTAGATGTTTACTAATTTCAACAATGCCGAACCAAAAAAAAAACCCTTTTTCGGTTTTCATCTGTATACATGTATCAATAAATGCATCTGAGATCACCCCCAGTTTTTGGTGGGGTTCGTGTTGCTCAGTCTTTAGTTTTTCTATGTTGTGTTTTGTGTACTATTGTTTGTCTGTTGGTCTTTTTCTTTTTTAGCCATGACGTTGTCAGTTTATTTTCGACTTATGAGTTTGAATGTGAATGTTTCTTTGGTATCTTTTGCCCCTCTTTTAATGAAATATATTACCGCCGGGTGTAAATCACCTATCACTTTTCACCGTTTCAATTTCGTTCCAGTTGAATAATTTTGGCAGACGATGGGGAACTAGAACATAAAAAAAATGCATGAAAGTATCAGGTTTCCCCACTTTTCTTGAAAAATCAAAATCAATTAATTAGATAAACAGTTTATACTCTTACCATATTAAATAAGCGATCCAGATTTCTTTTCGTTCCGACTGAGTTGTTTTTATGGAAGTTGTGGACATAGAAAGTTGATTGAAAATATAAAATTTCAGCACTTATGTCCGCAAGTTCTGAATCAATTGGTGATATTATTGGTATAAAGTCTTATTTAAGCAGTTTAATGTATTTTAATCATACATCTTTTGAGATTTCAGGAATGGGCGATTTACTCATGAGTTTAAGTATTGGCAAAGTAATTCAACTTACTTATTGGATGACGTTGTATGTACCGGAAGAGAGTCAAGCATAGAAAATTGCAGACACACTTCGTGGAACCTTCATAACTGCGACAATACGCACAGAGATTGGCATTCAATGTTAGTATAGAATATTCGGTCCAACAAGACTTATTAAACACACAATTTTAGACTAGATATAAATCGTCGTAAATAATCCAGTTAACCTACTACGAACAATATTCCGACACCATTAACTAGCGATTCTACCTGACGATATCAGGATATGGGTAGTTACTCTAATCTTAACCTGAAGTTGTGATAACAGTAAAAATCCGACACGGATAAAAAAAACAATGTCAAAATGTTCAGGCTTTAATTAAATCTTTATTCGAGCGAGTTGATGCATGCACACGATTTGTATTGTTTTGTAAGACAGTCAAATAATGATAAAAAGAATATATAAAAGTAAAGTGTAAACACGCTAATTATGAGCTTTGAACATTAAGTAGTTCGTGCATTTTTCTGAGTAGGTTTGAACAAATTTCAAACAAATACACTTTACTATGGATTAGCATTCGTCAGCAGTCACTATTCAATCTTCAATATACAAACGACTGTTGGTTATATTGATAATTTTGAATTTTCATAGCAGCTTTCGCTTGAATGCAGTGTTAATTAGTTCTTTTGATGTGTCATTTGTATGCAAGAGTGATATCCCTTTGTACTATGTTCCAATTCAAACAAGTCCTGCAATGGATGAGTTAATTGTCTCCCTTGAATAAACCCTATCTACGGAAATGGTTTGTATTTAAAACATGGTTAACAATTTTACGATGGCCAGGGGTTAATTATAGGTCCTAACTGTCCTTTCAAGAACGTTCCTCTCTTCGGTGTGCGCCTCTAGGTGGTAGGTAAATGAATGAAGAGGACTCTGGAAAGCAATATTACAGACAAGCTCGGATCCAATCCGTTGAAAAAAACTAGAAGCACAGATGCATAAAAACACTCCGCTATTAAAAACATACAACTGATGCAAGATGCTTTTCGCTGCATTAGGAATCTGTTCTATGCTAAACATCATATGTACAACCGGTGCGCTAAACACAGCTGCAACAGGAATCGGAGCCATCGCTTGCATTCTTTTGAGTTCGTTAGCTGTCATCATTTTTTTGGAAATAATGATATTAACGGTGTTATCCAAACGTATCAACACAAAACGGAATAAACCTGAAGATACCGTACACCTTGTCAAAACCTCCAGATCCTAAATCGAAGATGCAGTCAGCAGGGCTTTCGATGAAAACGACATCAGCGAAACAGGATACGCAATTGTTTGTCAAATGCTTAAATGTTTCCTACGATGAAGAACAACAACTGCGATATCCTTCAACTAAATTTAGCAAAGATCTTACTGCGCATACATAATAATCCTTTTAATAAGCACACCATTCTGCCTTACTCACCCAAATTGATTTTAACTTTCTCCCCTCCCCTATCAAAGAATAAGAGTCTGCTCTCCCCATACTTCCCTTGGTGCACTTTCATGTCCTCGATCTGATATCGCCAACCAACCGGTAGCTCTTTCCGTTTGAACGCATTGTCGCCACAACCTTTTCCTCTTCTTTCCATATTACTCTTCTCTTTTTCAGTAAGAGTTGACATATTTGTTATTTATATATATTCCATTTTCTTTGTAGTTTTTTTGTCTTTCTTCTTTTCACGCATGCGCAGTGACCCATATGCAACTATTCCAGTCATAGTTAGGTTCGATAACTCTGCATGTTACTGGTTTATATCGGATTATGTAAAATTTACTGGTTACCCGTGTGATAAACGATTTAGAAAATGATAAATTTAGACATTTCACCTCAGTTAACATCCATTAGGTTATCATTCATTAATTATAGAATAACTAATCGAAGAATTCAAATAGAGAAAAATATTCAACGAGTGACCGAACAACACATTAATTCACGAATGCGCGTAGCGCATGAGTTAATTATCAGTGTTGTTCGGTCACGAGTTGAATATTTTTCGATATTTGAATTCTTTGATTAGTTATTCTTTTTATTACATTGGCAAATGGCTTTTTTTAATGAAATTAATGTAGAAAATGTAAGGAACTATATCTTTTTTCTACGCATTCACAATTTGTTTTGATCCGACGTTATCGACGTCTTGACAACGCCTATTGTTGTATGACGTCAGAGAGTGAAATAACCACGTTTATTTCACATGTGAAATTATCGGTTTTTATTTGACTAGGAAATCAATGTAATTCATTGCTACCAATGTAATAATTTAAAATAATATCATTGAACAATTTCATTAAGAATCGAACAAAACTAATCTATATAGGTCTTGTCAAAACTTACACCGTAATCAGGTGCCATGTATGGTTTCTGTGATCACGTCGGTGTTATGACTTAATATCTCCTTAAATTAGCTATGTATAAGGGTATTATAAAAAAGACAATTACATATCAAATTCAATTGCAATATAAACACTGAAATTAAATCGAATTATTTGCATGGATGAAAATTAATGTCTAACATCGTCTACGTTTGAAAATTAATTGGTCGCCATATTTTTCGTAACTTCGAAATTTGATCAAAACAAAACAAAATGAATCCACTTTCTCAAAAAGAAACAATGTTTGTTTCTATGCTGCTTTAAGGTAAGACAATAATTGGAAATGTATGCATCCATTAGTTATTTGGTTTCCATCGTAAACATCCTACAAAATATCTTTTCACAAGTCAAGTTACGATATGTCAATGTAAATCAAAACAGTGCACGATCGATGCATATACATCTTTCTTTTGTGTGCGAGAGACTGTTTCTAATAAATATACTTAAGTGAAGGTGAAATAAGTAATTTCTTAAAAACAAGAAGAGACACATAACATATTTCAAATATAACTTTTTAATTAATAACTAAATGAATACATGCCATGTTGTTGTTTACTTTCAACAGCGGCCGCCATTTTCAAAATATTGCTAACGAATGCCAAAATAAGAACTTTTCAATCGAATTTTGAAGCAAAACATTTATTACCTAAACTGATTTGGTTTTCGATTTCTTTGAAATAAATGTATAGTCGACCTTTTTAGGGGTTGGAAGGATATTATTTACAATAAATAAGTTTGAGAAAATTGAATATTTAAAAAGGTCCCATTGCAATTTTATCGAGTTTTAACGAAGAAGTTAACGGAGGCTGTGTGGTTATGGCACCTCAATTTTCAAACTAAATTTGAAGCAAGAAGTCATATTTCTGAACTGAAATTTAGAACATATTTAATTGTAAATAAGAAAATTCTTAAAAACGCGGGCTGGAAGGTAAAATACACAATGTAACAAAAAAATTATGATCGTTTAATTTATGAAGCCCATTCACTTTCATTGATTAACGATCGACCATTAATGATATACAACTAAATTGTAAAAGTCACGTGATGACCGCGATAGTTGGATATGTCAACCCTGATTCATTTCATCTAGGTTTCTGCATGAGGGTTTCATCTAGGTTTCTGCATGTGAATTTCACCTAGGTTTCTGCATGTGGGACACTCAACGAGTGTGTTCAATTTTCGATTTTGTTATGATTTTTACCCTAGGTTTATGCAGTGGGGCAGAATCGACATATCTATAATACTTATCTATTTAAAATTTGAAAGGGATGCTGTTGACGAAAATGACCCCTTACATAAACTTTAATTTTCAATAGCCCAAAGGATGTTGCTTATACTTAATTTTTACCACAAACTATTGAACAATGCCAATCTTTGACACTGTATTGCCAAACTGCATACATTTAAAATGAGAAGACTAAACTATAGATTGGCATCATTTAATCACATCAACACAAAGGAACTAGATAGTTCATATTCAAAACAAAGAAATTATTTAAAATTAGTAATCTTGTTCAATGTCAGGAACCTTAACAGTGATTTCTTATCTTAATGGCGTTTTGCCTCTAAGGCCTAGGAAGTTTCATGTTGATATGTCATTTTCTCTGTTGAATGTATTCGCAACTAATCTCATTTATAGTTGACATGGTGTATGGGCATTTGGCTATTGTTGAAGACTATTCTAAACACTAGATGACGTTTTTATTTTTTGTGTTGTTTAGTTACTGTCTCATTCACATATATCCAACATCTCTTTTTTATTCATATCCTACACAACACTTTTATGAAGATTGGATATTAAAAACACGTTTCGTTGTTTAATTATTTACTTTGTAGATAGAATGAGATTGCATAAATGTATGGAAACAATTTTTGAAGTAATATGCAATGTTTATATAATTTTATATATTCTTTATCCAAATAACCTAACATTTTAGTTCTAGATGATATTTCTTTAGACCATTTCTGTGATAGGTGAACTACATGAATCTTAGACTGTTTGACAGAAAGCTCCATTCTGATTATATTTTTTGTCATCAAATGAGCTGCGTCGGATAGAAATCGACCTTATGCAAATGAATATTAATACATCTGTTATCTTATTTAGGGTTGCAAACATTTCTATGCACATAACTGTTTGAAAATTGAGTTGATATAAGAACCCTACAAAACAGACCAAAATTTATCTTTTATTTTGTATTTGAATGTTCAAAAATCAATCAGAGACTTATACATGTACATGTATACGTGCACTTCATAAGGTCGATTTCTATCCGACGCAGCTCATATGTAGTTGATTTCACTTTTCCATCATTGTTTTTGCTTTTGTATAATAATGACACCAGATGCGCATTTCGATATCTAAGGTCTCTTCAGTGTTGCTCGAGGCCAAAATATTTGAAAATCCAAACTTATTAATACAGTTTTGTATAAAATAAGGAGTAACCTTGACATTATGGAATTTATTACATTAGTACATGTAGTATGATATGTTCAGGCGAAAATAATAAAACTTAAAAGATGATTCATCATTTTAAGCGATAACACGTTTTTTTAAGATTTCCTAAATCATAAGTTTTACAAAGTTAAATCTTCTACAGGCTCACCAGATGAAATTGATCTTAGACTGGAAGGTGGAAATAAGCCTAACGAAGGCTTTGCTCAGATTTTGTTGGGGAAGCAAATAAACAACATTTGTAGTGTTGGATTTGATGAGAAGGACGCCTTTGTCTTTTGTCTGGAGATAAAAGGTCATTGCCGGTAAGTAAATGGCAAATTTAACTATTAAATGAATACCATTCAGCATCCAAAATGTATAAATCTTGTGCAAAATGTGTCTAAGACCATCTATTCCTAGGGTTTATAATCCTTAAGGTTTTGAAAAATTCAACATTCAGCAACAATTTTTCATGGGACGAAGAGGTATAATTGTCACTCTTTCTTTTAAGAAAGGAACACATTAATGCATTTGCCTTTTTTCCCCTAACCCTTTATCTCATCCTACTCGTAGGCTTGCAATTAAAGGCTTATTTGTCTCGTTTTGTGTTTTGCGTTAGTATTTCCATTTAAAAAACATGGAACCAAAATTCCCATCCCCATTATCAATTATTTTCAATCAAGTATTTTACCAAGAAACTTCTTTTACTATACAAGTGGATGGCAAACTTCTAGCAAGCGATTTTTCCTCTCTTTCCTTTGTTAAATAAATCAAGATGACACTTAATAACTAAATAAATCGTGCGTCCGAAGCGGTTTTTGTGATTAACCTTCATAAGGAATGTTCAACATGTTCCAACCTATATGAAAACCTGTATGTCAAATTCAGTACTAGATAAACAGACAAACAAGCATTTTTAGTTTACATTAACAGTTTTGACTTGTTTAACAAGAGAACAAGACAAAATGTTCGAACTGTGACCTTTCATTATTTTTGTTTTTAACAATATATAGAAAATGCTGTAGTACAAATACAAACACAAGCTTCAAGGATCTTTATTACGAGCTACCGAAAAATACAAGCAATATTGTTGCATATCAATATCAAAATATTGAATGATAACGAGCAGAAAACATGAATCAAAAACTGTCTCCTACAACACATATCAGGTGTATTATGGGTGTCAGGTTTGAATTTGGGTACACTTTCAACACCATTGTGTTAAACCAAGCCTGTATACACCTTTGGCTTTTATACCACTGTAAAAAAAAAATCAATATACCCATCATACTTGTCACGTGTAACGTTTGGTCATAATTTGTCAAAATAAACATCATATCAACACTGAAATGAAACTGTATTAAATCAAGTTTAACATTACGGCTACAATAGTACAGTTATCTCTTTACAGTCATAAAGAATTAAAAAAAAATCCCCATATGGTGAAACTAAAAATATAGTCAAAAGGCTGTGATTTGAAAAATATATATCCCGAATTGCAAAAGATAATAAATGTTTTCATTCCGGGTGTGGGATTAAAACCCAATATTTTAATCATTAATCGTTCCATCTTGCATTAGCTATCGGAGCCTTGGTCAGATTTTGGAATAACAATATTCAGACACCAAAAAACTAAGTAACAACTATTTCTTCACTTTTAAATCAATTATTTAGCTTTCATAATTGCTAATAATTGCTAAATCTTGTTAATACAATATATCTAACAACTATGAATGAACAGAGTCTCTTAACAATAGAAGTATACATATGTACTAAATTTTAAGTTATAGTTAACTGTTTTTCACTTGACTGATACCTAAATAAAGATGCGAACCGTAGAGATACAATAGTTTTTTAACATAAATGATGAAGTAATAAACAACGTAGCTCGTTGATTATCGTTTCAGAATCCTCTGCATCTTATACATTTTCTTTCTCATAATAACACGGTCAAATGGATCTTTTATTCCAATCGAAATAGAAGTATATCAACAGAGGCATTGACTTTCTTGTAGCAATATATAAAAAGCACAAACCTTAATTAACTTTATGCATAGTATGCATAATTTGTGAACTATATAACAAATTGAAACATTTTTATCTTTTAAATCGAATTTTTTTAGATTATTATACAGGTTCAATTTTTTATCTTTAGAGTGGGCGCCATTATTCGCCGCATAAACCGTCCATTTTCACCTACAGCCAATTTATATTCAAACTGCGGCAACTTATTATGCAATTTTCCAAAAGAAACTATTTAACTAACACGTCTTATGAAGGAGGATCTTCAAGACATTCGTGTTTAGGTCTACAGATTAACGCAAGTTTATGATAAAGTTTAGATTTAAGGCCATATTTGGCCTAAAGTGAACCTTGTCCAAATTTGAGAAGAAGTCGAGTAAACCGCATACCATGGGGTACACATTTTCGCCGTAATCTATGACTCGAAAATATTCAGTAATCCTGTTAAATTTTACAACATGTAAATATTTGAATTTTGCTAGAAGAAATTAACACACCATAGAGATCGAAAACTGACATAAAATATGTGCTTACTCACTGCGCATGCGCAGTTTTCCTAATAGTTTTTGTTTATCTCTTTTAAACAGATTATATAAACGCTCTGGGCTGTATTATTTTTAAAAAGAAGTACCTGCTCATAAATTTACTCTTGTATATCTCATTAAACTTAGCACGTCGATGATAAAATACATAAAATGCGTATGAATTGTTTAGAAGGACACTGTTCAAGGAAACAGATAGCCCACACCTCCATCGTGTCATGCATTTCGAGAAAATTCGAAAATGTGTCCACGGCGAATATTGGCCACCCACTGTACTACGTGTAAGTTGTCATGAGAGTGGATAATAAAATGTATTATGAGTGTTCAATTTTGCTTAAGTTTGTCTGACGTCTTTTTTCCAATGTATTGCATATATAACGTCGACGCATGCATCTGATGAATTACTTTGTCACTTTTTAACTGACATTAATTTCATGTCATCAACCATCTGAAGGTCATAGTTTATCAACTCATCACCTGGTTAGTGTTATGTTGTATTTCGAGTCAAAAAAGATATCACCCCTTTACAATAGCTTTGCTGCATTATTTGACTTTTTTTATATGTAGATATACTCATCATAGATACAAGGATTAAGATCAAATATGACAGAATAGTAACGTTTGCTCAATTTTTTACTTTTATGTGCCAAGCTAAAGAAACGAAGATGTATCTGTAGGCAAATCTTAAATCGGGAGATGAATTATATTAATCCTGCATAATAATGTGTTGGTTTATATGCTAGTTTAACTTACCTCCTGTACATTCCTAGGAATATCATTGGTTAAAAGCGATCGCGTGGAGACCATGTATATTTAATATGGGGTTAGTAGGCGTGTTTTTTTTTAAAACACGGATGGTAGTGGTGTTACGTCCCTTTATAAAACCAACACGGCGTTGAGGAAAAATCTAGAATGTTTTGCCCGGACAACAGATGAAGAAATTGATGGTGAACGATTGAAATAAATGCAGAAAACACATTAAAAGCTAACAAGTTGTTATTGTTGGCATTTGTTTTTGTATAGACTAATGAAAGTAGCTTCTTTATATTGAAGACTTTATCACTTTGATAGGCCACTAGTCTAAATGCCACATGTTAAGATAGTCGGTAAGATAAATTCGTTACACTGTGTGATAGTGACCTAATGCGATATATATGGGGTCAGTAAGCGTTCGCTCACACCCCATATGGAATTTACTGATCCCATATATATCGCAAGGTCACTAGCACACTGTGTAACTAATAATATACTCACTGTGTGGAGTCCTGTGCATGCAGATCACAATCTATTTTATAAATGAGATTAACTATAAATGGATGCAGTATTGATAACCGACTTTCTCACTGACGCTTCATAAATCATATTCAACCATCGCTCTTTCTTATAAAATTTCATTTTCATCCGAGATAGACGTTTTAGTAGCAATGTTCATACTTTATCTTTATATGTTGAAGTGATGCAATGGTAGTATCAGGAAAAACATACAACACATCAACAGAATACATTTACCAGGAGACTTTCAATTGTATTGGTAACGAAGTAAGGCTAGTAGACTGTCCTCGCTACTCTGTAAGATGTCCGAGTGAATCTAAAGCAGCGGTCGTCTGTGGTATACATTTTCATAGCATGACATGTTTTAAAATGTTTTGATGAAAAACCGGATCATTATAGTATACATATACAGATAATCAACAGAAAAACTAGAACTTAAGTTTTTATCTAGTAACGGGTAATTCTTATTCCCTTTAAAGCATAAACAATCATTCACATTAACAGTAATTGGCAACAACACCTAAAAATGTTTGCCACATATTTGTTTTAAGCATTGAATACTAAGAATCGTAAAAATAAAATCCTGGGAAAACACCTCAAACCATTCCGTACTATGAACTGACATTTTTTTTAAAGAAATTTCGATTAATCTTCAGATTTGCAAGGCAATTTAATAATAGGTAGGGCTTTATTTTTCCACCATATTTTATATTTCACAATATAGCAAATGTCAAAATCCAGAGGTTGATGGAAAATCTAGATTCATAAAAAAGAATATTTTATGATATTGCTCATTTACATCTTTTCTTAATTATACGTATAAAATGAACGCCTAAATAAACAGATAACATACCATCACACAAGTAAATTCGCACGTAATGTGTCCTAATGTTTATTTATTCATAAGCTAGTATACACTAGGGATGCACATGTCCGTCCGTCCTTTTGTCCGTCACAAGTTTGGGTGATGATGACGATTAAAGTATTACTTGACCAAATCTTTTGATACTTAATCAACGGTTATATCAATTTCCGGTCAAGTTTAAATTAAACGATTTTTACATATACCGGCGAAGAAACCTTAAAGTTGTTTTTTTTTTTATTCCGGATGATAATGAGAAAACCACTTGACCAAATCTTTCCAAAAAAAAACCACTGAAAAATTGTTTTGATTGTTTAGAAATTTACCGTTCAAGAGTTATATCCCCTAGTTACCTTACAAATTGGCATTTATGTGGTGTCCGGACTATAACTAAAGTACAAATTGACCAAATCTGTTGAAATCTGAACATGATGTCCTCCAGCATTAAATACAGGTCAAGTTTTATTTTGATGGTTTTGCGATTTACCATTCAAAGGTTGTTCCCTTTAGTTTCCTAAAGAAAAAGGATTGTTTTGGCTTATAAGTGATAATGTGAAAAGTAAAAGAACAAAAATATCGAACTCCAAGGATTATTCACAAAGGAAAGTCCCTTAGCAAATGTCAAAATCAAAAGCTTAAACACATTAAACATATGGAAAACTGTCATATAAAAAAATAGTTGACCTCATTTGTAAATAAATTAAATTCATATATTTATATATAGACAATTTTATTTTTATCCTAGATCCAACAATTCCTTCAGTTGATTTACAGATTCCCTTACCCATGATAATTCATGAGCCTGTCAATTTGAAATGCATTTCCACTGGCGGCAGTCCAGTGCCTGATATATGGTGGAACTGTTTTAATAATGACAACGGAACACGAGTCATATTATCTGAAAACCAGATTGTGTCAGTTTTAGAAATTCTTCCCTCCAGCATTTTTAATGAAAAGACATGTACTTGTTTCGTTCATCAGACGGAAACAACGTTTCCAGTAATTCAAAGAGTAAAAAAGCTTGTAGTATATTGTAAGTGTTGTGATAACTTATTATCATTTAGTTGGAAAATATTGTTTTTTTTGGGGGTTTTTTTTAAAGGGAGTAAAATTTTACAAAAAGATGTAATGTAATTGCAAATGTATAAACTATCCACTAGAAACCATAGGATGGAATGTAAACAGCTAAAATAAACCATAAGGCCTTCAACAATGAGAAAAACCTATAACGTTTATTCACCTATAAGATGACCTGACATAAGAGGGTTAATATGTTTTTTGACACTCACACCCCCTCAAAATTTGGGACATTGGTGTATCAGCACAACGTAAGAAGAAACTGTAAAAATCAGTTTGAAATGGCTTGACATATCAGATTAGCGCGAAGCACACATACACAATTAATGAAAAGACAAAATGTATAACGAACCTATCCAAGACAACTTCCAATTACTGAAATCTATAGCTAATATATATGTCTGATATAGACAGACTCATAGTCACCGTCGTCATACAAACTTACTCCTCATTTTATGACTTTGTGCCATTGAAAAAGAATTCATCAAATCCGCACAAAGTCCTACCAATCTCCCTTTTCGATACATCATTCGTGCAACTTATATTAGAAAGCCCTGTTAAAAATCACCTTTTCGAGCCAATACGAACTTAAAGCTATTATCTTTTACATTGCCCGTCATACGTGTTAGACTTGTTGATCTTATAAAATATGCAAAAGTAAAAAGATCCATTATTAAATTTCTCGTTTTGAATTACGATCTCTCTAGTTTAACATGTTTTAATATCAATATGTCTTATCTCCTCTAATGCATATACAACAGATTTCAAAATACAAACACGTGTTGCAGGATCACAATATTGACGACTTTTAGTCTAAACTGCATAATTGTAAACAACACTATTATCCATTCTCGCAATATTTGGCTAAACAAATTAGCTTCATCAGGCGCGTGCAGCCATCTATAAGGAATAAATCTTAAAATTCAAGCAATTTAACTAACACCATTATCTGTTATGATCTCATCAACGCAATATACAATAAGCTTCAAAAATATATTGAAGGGAATGTACAATAAGCTAAAAATAAATTCTTATCAGCATCCAATTTAATCTGGATGGCTTCACGCGCCTGATGAATCTAATTTATATGCTAGTAAGTTATATAAAATATAACTATTTCCATAACGCATATTAACGTGTTAAAGTTACATTCTTGTGCACTAATATATTTTAATTTAGTAACTGAAATAGTTTATTTTCAAACTGATCCATGCCAAAATAGATTGAATATTGATTGTTGCTATTTTTAGACACTGCATATATACATATTTTTTTTCATTTCCTTGAAATTACCTTTTTTAGTAAACCATAGTTTTTTGTTGTACCAGAACATGCAAAAGGTTATGCCCGCCATCTTTATAAATATATTGTAAAATATGTTTACACAATAGAACAGGTCCACACCTATTTGCATTGTGTGATATCCCTTATGGAACTGAATTGTTTGCCGCAAACTTGCAGCAGACTTGCTGCAAGCTTGCGGCAAACAAAAAGTTTGCAGGAACACAGAAAATAGTGTTTGCAGATGTTTGCCGCTAGCTGCAAACTTCCGGCAAACATTGCAGCTTTTTGCTGCAAGCTTGCGGCAAGTTTGCAGAAACATCAATGTTTGCCGTAAGATTGCCAGAAAGTTTAAAATTATAAAGAATGTTTGCCGCAAGATTGCAGAAAACTTTGACCATTCTATATGTTTGCCGCAAGATTGCAGAAAACTTTGACCATTCTATATGTTTGCCAGAACATTGCAAGAATTACACAATATTGACTGGGCATGCCTAGTTGGCACTTCCTGGAAGTTATCAATTTGAAATTGTGGCTAGGTCATGTTGGTTGTGTTTGGAAAATGCATTTCACAAATAAGAGATCAAGGAGGCATTTTGGTTCAATAGATAAAGATATTCAGTATGTAATTTTGTAAGTACAAATAATTCATAAAATGTTTTAATAAAATAATTAATGTTATCATCATACATAATAAAGTAAGCAACTATATATACATGTATGTGTGTAATGAAAAACTTTAGCTATTACAAGTTTGAATTTTGTAACTGCTGTACTGTACCATGTTTATTAAAACTAAGTTCAATTCTGTTATGCAATTGTTACCTAGCTTTATACTCAATACACATTTGAGATTTATCCTTTTTCATTTCTTAATACAGGTATATGATGTCATTTGAGAATGACCCCTGCCCCCTTTTTCAAAACTCAAATGCATGTATGTATTTCCTTAAATCTCGTAAGTTTGCAAGAACTCTTTCAATGACTGTTTGTATACAGACATGAATTGATTTTTTAAAAATGTTGCTGTGTAATTTGAAAGAGATAAATTGAATATGTCTACACACATGACATTGGTATAATGTGTAGTTCCTGCAAGTTTGCCGCAAGTTTGCAACAAACAATTGCCGCAAGCTTGCAGCAAACAAACAATTGCCGCAAGCTTGCGGCAAATCTAATTTGCATAATTATGTTTGCAGCAAGCTTGCCGCAACCTTCATTTGCATGGTAAAATGGTTGCGGCAAGTTTGCAGCAAATGTTTGCTGCAAGCTTGCGGCAATGTTTGCTGCAAACTTGCAGCAAATGTTTGCCGCAGAGCTTATTTTTCGGTAAGGGATATTTCCCATTACTTTATTTATGTTTCCTATTTGAACGTTCCATTTCATAGAAGCATTATCAGCATATGGAACATATAGACATATATCTCCCAGTTAAAACGATATTCCGGAACTCACGTTTCCTATTATGATTTCTTTGATACGTGGTTGGTGCTTAGTTTAAATCTATTGCAACAATGTTTCTTTCTGGTAAATGCCATCATTATTTGGCTGACCATTATGGAATATCTTTGTTCTAATTATCGTAGCTCTTTGTTCTTTCAGAGCACAACTTTGTAATTTGAGATTGATTGTTGCATTTTAGGGGGTTTTATTTTGCAGTTACTTGTAGACTTTTGGTTGTCTTTTTTTCATTGTAAAGCCATTGTCTTGTCGGGTATCCCTCTACTGATGGTTTAGTTTGTCCGTTTTGTATCTTCCGCCTCTTTTTAGCTTTTTAACAGAAACAATTTTCTGATGATAACAATAAAAATATCAGTCTGAGATAAGTTCGAAATCGCAGTAACTCGTAAGGTTGAATATCTTATCGACAGGGCATGTAAACTGGTTCGCCATTCCATCGAAAGCTCTTCCCCGAAGGACCGGTTTGGGCCATTTTCACTTTGGCATTAATTTAACGAGTCTTGCAAATCCAACGATTCGCTACGAAATTAACCAATTATATTGACAGGAACTCTGGGCAACTCGACTTCAAATGTGAATAATGCCATGCCGCAAAATACTTTAGTATCTGTTAATTTACTCAATCGAACACGGCAAGCTATTCATATATGTACGTAGTATTAATGAACATTGTAAGACATGATACGGGTGTGTTCAAACATGGAAGTACTACTAAAACATATATTTTGTTATATTCGAAATATAATTGAAGTACTCGGCAGAGTTATAAATATTTGAAAATTAAACCGGAATAGCACAAACAAATCATATTGTTAGTTTTTCACAGTGACAAAGAAGCTTTTCGTATCGCAATGGAAGAACACTTGAAACATAAGACTAAGTATAAACCAATTTAAAACGAAAGTGACAGTAGACTGTTGCTTTATTACTATGACGTTCAAAACGTCACAAAGAACAATAGTAACTTTGTTTACTGTCTGAAGAGTCGAATGAACGGCCGGAAGCAATAACATTAAAACTAACAATGTGATTGAGTGTGTTGTTCCGTTTATATATGTCTCCTTTTTATCTGGCTAAACATTCTGAGCGTTAGAAAGAAAGTTTTATACGTTGTGCTATCGAATGTTTACCTTTTTATGAAACATCTATTGAACATTCAATTTCATAATAGAGCAGAAACAGATAACAATTGGATATAACGATCCACAGTTACCAACGGTTATGTAATAAAATGCGCTTCAATTATTGAAAACCGATGGCGGCAGCGCAGATAAATACTAGATCGTGTTATCACATTCTTGACAAACTGAGTCGGTATCGTTTCTTTCTTAAGAAATAAATAGGAATGTGTTGATTTTTCGTTTGAGTTCCTGTCAATGTAATACATTATAAACACATCACATGCTGCGCTAGTCTCTACCAACATTGTCCAAATTATCAAATCACGCAGCCCGTAATCTGACCACGATATTTAGGCCGTACCTGTTGTTAGTGAAGCGATACGTAACCACAATAGGTGTCCAGTTTACAATGCATGCATCTCTTGCTATCATGGGTATTACACGCCAAACAAAACATAATTTCATTAGGGCTTTGTGATAGTTTTTTTCTTATTCTTAAATAAACAGAAATTATGACGGAACGATAATTTAAAAAAAATAGTATTCCTTGTGGTATACCTTATATTCTTTATATGATTCATTTTTTTCAACTGAGCCATAAAAAGGGGCGATAACTCATATAATGTAAATTGCAAAAGAAATGGTAGTCAATTTAATTTTTTTTTTTTTTGTAGCAAGAAAAAAGTTCTTTGATGCAATTTTTCATATTTTCTAAAAGCACATTATAAGAACTATATTCACATGTTTTATGTAAAAATTCGATCTTTTGGTTTTCTTTCTGTCACACACTATGGACTTACCCATGTACAGTCTATATAAAATCTGACAATTTTGAAATACCTGTAGCTTGAAAAAAAAATTTTTGACCCATACTTTTATTATATTTTTGAAAAAGCTTGATATCAACTACATTTTGGAATTACTTTAAAATTCTATTTGTTTCAAATTTTTTTATCCCCCCCCCCCCCCCCCTTGCCCATTGACTACACAATTGTCATAACTATATGAATCCCGTTAGAGGCGATTTAAATGTAACAGTGCCAATTTTGATTGAAAATCAGCCAAATACTTTGACATGTGAGGCTTCTAACGGAAATCCTTTGCCAGACATTTGGTGGACTTGCAGTGGAATACCAATTGATAATGTTACATCGGCAGTCACACATAATTCCTCCACTTCGATCTTGCACTTAACACCAACCTCAGATTTCCACAATAAAACATGTTCGTGTATCGGAAGGCAAAATAACTCAATGTTTGCAGAAATAAGTAAATCCACAATGTTACGTGTTTTATGTAAGTAACTTTTGCTTATTTATACATTTTATGTAGGATATATGTCATGGGCCGACATTTTAAAGGTATACTGTTTTTGAAGTCGGACACATTATTTGGTGCACCTAGTGTATTTTTCTGTGTAAGATGTTTTTTGACTCGTTCGTAATTTCTTCAAAACTGTCTGCAAAGGCCTATACAAATTTGATGTTTCATGAGAAGTTTTCTCAACTTCATGTTGAAAACAGTCACGTTATCTTTATGATTAATCCTTTAAGGACAGTTTCTTTTGCCGTTCAGTCGGACACCACAAATAACAATCCTAACACACAAACTTTACAGAATAACACATATTTGAAACAGAACACTTTAAAGTAAGAACACGCTGAAAGCAAATAATCGAAGCAAAGCTAAAACTTATGATTTTTTAAGCATGTGCAGTGTAGATATTACATATTTGCCCTTTAATAATCATGACATTCATGAACATAAAAAGTTCATTGAAGATATGGAACTCAATCTTTTTTCCAACACAGGGGCGAATTACCTGTGACTAATCGTATGACTTACAATCATCTTTTAAACTATTAAACTAAATTCCCTATATGCAAAGAATATCCCAAAATAAGGTTCCATTTTTTGTAGCATGTAGGTGCAATATTTTCCGTCTTAGATAAATAGGGAAGCTTTAGTCAGCTTTAGTAATTTACTATTGAAATTGTCTTGTATGAATGAAATACGGTCAATAATTAAGGTAATTATGTTTATCTTCAAAATTGAGAATGGAAATGGGGAATATGTCAAAGAGACAACAACCCGACCAAAGAGCAGACAACAGCCGAAGGCCACCAATGGGTCTTCAACGCAGCGAGAACCATATTCTTTTGTATAAAAGAAGATTATAATTTGTTGTTTTGGGTTTTAATCGTGTAAGACATGTAAGAGATGATTTATCCTAAATTCTTCTGGGTCTTTTGACATGTGACCTGTCGATAATATTGTTTTCATGCATTTGGCTTTAATTCTTCATTCAAGAGTTTTTACATAAGCAAACAAGTTGTAATGTGACCTTACACCCATCAACGACATCAGGTTACTTAAGTGCCTTTATTTGTTGCTGCTTTCGTCAGCTAATGCAACCGTTGTCGAGACCAGCATCTGTATGTATTTTGTTTAATTGCCGAAATGTAATTTTGTATATTGCTGATTCTGTAACGGATAAGAATAAACGTCAGTCCGTATTTCGCTTTGACATCATACTTGAGTTGGTGCTTATATACTAGTCAACAAAAATAACGATACACATGTTTGCACTCCAATTTATCGTGACATATGATGCATAGGGAAAACTGTTATAAAGTATCCAATGAAAAACACTGATTTGCAAAGCAAATGCATATGCATATGATTAAAAGAATCTGACCAAATTGGAAAATGAGAAAATACCGTGTTATTGAACACAGGGGTCAAATTTATTTTGCGGAAAATGATGACAAAAGTCGGCACTTATTTTCACAGATGAGAATTAAGAATTCAAATATCTGCAAACGCATTCAATTTTTAAGCAGACATTGTTTAAGTTTAAAGTTTTAAGTTCTAATGTCGATTTTTGGGTGAAAATACGATTTTTTAAATAACAAAAATTGCAAAAACAAAATTCGCTTATTTGCCTTAAATCAATAGTTTTGATAAGAAAATAACAATCTGTAAATATTAGACCAATTGGAAAATTATTTTCTTTGGTACAGTGAATCCAATTTCATTATATATGGAAAATGCTTTGCCTTGTATCGTTTCTTTTGTTGACTAGTATATAATTGTTTTTCCACATTTGCTTTGGTGTGCATCTTAAGATGTTCCTATTTGGTTCTTGTTGCCAGTATTTGCTTATCCTACAAAACTCAAGCATTGCATCATTTGTGTTTTCTTATTCGGACTGATATTCTACGTAGTGTCCCTTACCAATTAGTTGAGATGGATATGGCTTTACACATGACGTTTCATTTGTATTTCATCACTCAAAGGTAAAACTGCTTTTAATCGGGCCTATTGTCAATGACTTATTGATGACATACAGTTGAATGAAGATCAGTTTCAGATCCAATTTTGTTGTTTTTTCTGTTGACAACATTTCATCTGATTGAAATTTTGATCCGAAAAAATTTCCCCAAAAATTCGTTTGCTTGATTTGTTTTGCGGCGAATGATTTCCATTCGTTTAATAATGAGACGAAGTTTATCGTATTTCTAACTTTTGAATATTTATTGAAGCATTTCGATTCATTCCATTTTTGATAGAATTACATTCCGTAAAAATTGAAATTATTTTTTCATTTTTCCATTTGATCTCCAGATGTGAGATACAAAGCAAGTGTTTGTTTCTGCTAGCTTACACATATATTTAGGGGAAAGTTGTTATATCACCTTTCCTTTTACTGCATGATTTTAAAGTAATACATGTAGCTATGATGCAATCAGTTTTCTCATCTTGTTTATCCTTATTTATTGCATATTCGGTAAATGAAGTGATATTGTCTTCCACTAATCTTTCTGTTGGGGTTCGCTCTTATCTTATTTGTAGTGTTACTGGTGGAAATCCAGAGCCTGTTGCAAAATGGCAGAGTGATGGCAAACTGCAAAATACTTATCTAATTAGATCCTCAGATGCCATCGTAGCAATGTTGCCAATTATCCCAACTAGAGCTCATAATGGCAGGCGATATACATGTGTTGTTAACCAGCCTGACACAAGTTTCAAAAACATTTCAAAATCATTGGTTCTTCGTGTAACACGTAAGTGATAGTAAAACTTTATTTCTTACCTGGTTTATTACCAAATCATATATTTACCATAGCTATCTAGACGGGTGAAACATTTGGATGAATATGCCCTCGTTATCGTCGTCATCATCAGGTTGTTAAAACCATGATATATTAAAATGTTTTTTTATTATTATAATCTATCTTAATCATTTCAATCTTTAATACGTTGTCCGATTAAAAAAACGTTCATGACTATTTTCCTTTTAAATTTAGTTTTCTTTATTCATAGTTTTCTAATTTTCAAAACTTCCGAAGCCAAATAAATATGTCATACTTTTGAGCATCCGTCATTAATTTCCGGGAAAATTAAAACAAACACACAAAAAAAAATACCAAAGCGCTACAGAAAAAAAATGGAAACAACACTTTATATCATGCTTGGTTTACCTTTACCAGGAACGCTCATTCCCGAATATTTGTAAGCCAAAGATGTAGAAGACCTTAAAATATATTCAACGTGTTTTTCAAGCAATAGCATTTGCCTTCAATATAGTTTAGAAGTTACTAACTTTATAGGTTATGCAATATCAAAAGTAGATAAAACAATCCAATTTATTTTTAGTTATTTTTTTGGTGTCATTTGAATCATAAAAATTTTTATTTTTCCAGATGATTCAGACAGTAATGCAAGGGGAATGAGTATCATACCATGCAAGTGAATTCTGCTCAACATTTAAGTCTTCTAAAGTTTCATATGTTGAAAGATAGAAGAAATTAAACTCATCATAAATAGAACAAATATGGATGATTTGATTTAATATTATATAGTCGGACATAGCATACTGTAAATTTTAGATTTGATAAAAAACAGTTTGATCAAAGCAGCACCAAATCATTTTATTTTTTTTTTTATAAAGAAAAACAGTTAACGATATGTCTCATAACCTTTTGGCTAATATGCCCGTATTTACACTTCATATTTTACTCGCGTAAAGACAAACCTGTGAACCTGGAAAAGTTTAAATAAAGGCAACAGTAGTATACCGGTGTTCAATAGTCATAAATTGATAAAGCAAAAACAAATACGGGTAACAAACAAAAACCGAGGGAAACACATCAACGGTGGGTTGAACCTGGTTTTATGGCTAGCCAAACCTCCCGCTTATAAGGCAATGTTAAAAATACCGCAAAAATGACAACAATTAAAGGCATGGCAGGAACTAGATAATTAAATTTTAAATGCATTTTATGATTCAGATAAATTATTATCTCTTCTGGATTTTGAGATTCCTTTTATTTTCGTTCCCAGAGATGTTTGAGATATTCGCCTATGTAAATTATTGTAGTGAGCTGTATTGATTAACTGGACAATAGATATCTGCACAACAATAGGTGATTTAAACTGTGTAAATGAGTAAACCATATGAAATTAAACTTAGATATTTGTTTATTTTATTACATTCTGTTGACTTTAAAAAGGGAATCTCAAATTCCACGTGAGTGTTTAATTTTCTGAAACGTAAAATGCATTCAAATGTTTTTAACATAGTTCCTGCCATGTCTTAAGATTTCATTTAGGTGCACATGCGGGTTTATCTGTAATATGAGTAAATTTTGTGGTGTAAACACGGCCATATTTTTCAATTTCTTCTGATGAACCTTAGACACAATTCTTATCTCATTCATCGTAGTCTCCTTGTCCCCTTTCTTTCTGAATTCCGGTATTTCCGGTATCCAAATGTTCTATTTCAGTATACTCATGTTTAGCCTCAGTAGAATTCATCGCCCGTGCTTGATATGAACGGATATATCCTGAAGACCTTTGATTTTCATCTAAGGTAGTTGAATAGTCCTTCGTTGAGTCATAGTGATGAACATCGATATCTACTTCCGTTGATATGATTGGTTGATAAGGATTCAGGTAACCTTCGTTGCAATCCTCTTTGATTGAAACACTATTGTTATCATCTTCGACAAAATCAAAATCGTTTTCTTCTTGTGCAGGAAATTTTATATCGCATAACAAACTGTCATCAATTTCTTCATAATCATTTTCATCAGTGCTCTTTTCATTTATTATCACGCGAACAACATGCTTTTCCGGGAGATTGCCCTCGTCGCCAACGTTTGATTTTGCATTGTCTAATGCTGGATTTTTTCCTGTCTTTCTGTAACAGATATATGTTATCAAAATGAAAACAACAATTACAAGAAGACCCGAACTTCCGATATAAATAAATCTTTCTTTATCCTGAAACCCTGAAAAGAAAAAATTAAACAGATGACTTTACATGAATAAAGAAGATGTTAGGTATATGTCAATGAGACAGCAAGTCAAACAACATAATAAACTGTTAACAGATATATGTCTCGCCTGTCTGGCTTTATCACAAACTTAAATACAGTCTTGTAAACGCTTCCGCAATCGCCGCCACCGGAAAAATCACACCTAAATCTCGCCCACCATGCAGTTCTTAATTCAAATTTAACTAACGACAAGTGTAAACATTGTGTAAAGCATTGCATTGTCCAAGATGTCGACAATAGAAAGTTAAGATATAATTTAAGAAATCACTGACATGAACATGCCGATATAAGATTCAGAGAGTTCGCTTGGTAAACTATGACGGATTGATAAAGTTATTGGAGTCTCATTGAATGTGTAAAACACAACAAGGGTTTCAACAATAACATTTATAAGTCGTTATTATCCCTTTATCGATAATAAAACTTCCAAAAATCACTACTTGGGCACAAAAATTACAAAAGCCTTTGGATTAGTGTCTAGATAATAGTTGCAGTTCGTTTTTACATAAAGTATACCGTTAAATACCATAAAGAAGAAGATATTCTTAGCTGGACGTACTGTCTCTATCCGTTATTACATATTTGTTTGATTAACCAAATCAATCACAATATATAGCTCAGCCTCAAACACGATTGTTTTGAAATAGATGATAATACCAAGGGGACATTCAAAACTCATAAGTTAATTTCAGAAAATAAACATTTTAGCCCAAACCTTACGCGAGGGCACGGAGATTCCGCAGCGTAATTTACAAGGACAAAAGTTGAATATCTTATGCATGACTTGCAAATTTCGCTACAGAATCTCGGCGTTCAATATATAATACAATACTCAGTGGCAGATTGCGGGAGGGGTGTTAAACTTTAAGGCCTACGTTCTTCCTGTGATTGGAAAATATGACATTTGTATTTTATTTAGATAGACCATTAATCGTTAAAACAAATCGACTCGCTCCACTCGGTAGTATCGCTTCCATCTATATAGTTACGCCCCCCTTTTAAAAATCTGGATCTGCACTTAAAACAAGCTTGAATTTCGGTGCAACCGTTGATATTTTATATTCTTTTTGTAAAGTTTCTTCAGCATAATTCCTTGCGTCTCAAATATTAACAACGGCACCAAAAGTTTTTGATATGCATGATAACATGTATTTGAGGAACATGAATGGGTAAAAAAATGTCGTTACTGATATTTCCGTTAAACATTGTCAAATTTTAGTATAGCCTCTGGCCTTTGCTAGTCTTGTATGTTTTCTGAATTTTAGTTCATTTATATGTTTCGGAGTTAAGTGTAACGTCCATTTTCACTGAACTAGTACACATTTTTGTTAAGGGGCCAGCAGAACATCGCTTCCAGGTGCGGGATTTTCTCGCTGTGTTGAAGACCCATTGGTGGCCTTGGGCTGTATTCTGCTCTTTGGTCGGGTTGTTGTCTCTTTTACACATTCCCCATTTCCGTTCTCAATTTTACTATTCAAGTGCCAGCTGAGGAATTAACTTAGTCCCCAACAACGTTGCAATTTTAAATGTATACTGATTTTTTTAGCATTGTAAAACTCATATATCTTGCTTTAAAAAAAAGAAAGATATATCAACCTAGCCCTTCAATCCCCCCTTCCCCCCTTTCTCTCCTGTTCCTGCTGTCTAGGTAACAATTTCGAAGAAAGAAAGAAATTTTTCTTACTTTCGGCTTCAAACACACTTACCAATTTCCGAATCGTGAGTTATCAAAGGTACTGCAAAATAAATGTTTAAATTATATGACAATAAGTAATTGAAATAATTACCAAAACCAACAACTTCGCCTGATAGACTGGTTATTTTTTCTATCCAAATTCATGTTTTATTCTTTTTATTTTCCGCTTTTACCTTTTAATGTCTCCAGAAAGTTAATAATCCGAGTTTTCTCCATTTCAAATTAACCCCTTGTTCCGTGATGTGTCTTAATAAATAGATAAAACTGGACCACAAGTTTCATAATGTTTTCAATTATTAAAAGAGGTCTCCTATTTTAAAATAGACATTCTTGCTAATTTCATTTTTGGAGTGTAAAATTATACATGGAGTAATAACCTTCCAAAAACAAACAAATGACCTAGTTCGTGTATGTTTCATATGAATTTAAATATCAAAAAATCACTGAGAAAAAAAACTAGTATTCAAGTTTCATGTCAATGGCATGTATTTAATCAGTTACTTTTGCCCGAATAAAAGGAGATTTAAGGGATATGTCAATCATATAGCACCTAATTGATTAATTCATGTACAATTCTCTTAATTTGAAAATAGTGCATGACATTGGGCAGGGAACAGTAAGTCCTATTCAACCCTATGTGTGCGTCCGGGGAAAGTTCATGCCGTTCACAAAAAGACCCGCTCTGGATTTGCTACTACAATACAATTATTAAACCGATTATATAGAGTCCATTGAAGTCATGATCACGAACATGATAGTACTTCAATTAGTGAGGGTTCGTTACTTATAAAAAAGAAGATGTGGTATGATTGCCAATGAGACAACTCTTCACAAGAGACCAAATGACACAAAATATTAACAACTATAGGTCATCAAACGGCCTTCAACAATGAGCAAAGCCCATACCGCATAGTCAGCTATAAAAGGCCCCGAAATGACAAATGTTAAACAATTCAAACGAGAAAACTTATATTCCTTATTCCTTACCTATTCGTTTTAGTGAACAAATCAGTATACATATAGTAGATAATACGGACACAGAAAAATTAAAATGTAATATTGAAAGTTGTGATTAAAATCACATTTAGGTTTTCCCTTTAAACAGTAACTTATATCAAACTTTGCCACATGCCATGTAAAAGCATATGCCCCCACCCCCTTTTGTGGGAAAAACTTGGTTGATTATTTAGGGAATCACTGAAGCATAACTCGAGCGGGCCCCCTCTTAGGCAGTCAGTGGGGCCCCCTTATGATAATTTCTGGCCACTGACTTATTAAGTTGAATAATAATAATATCAATTTGGAGAAGAGCATGCAGTATGGCAAGCCGTTTTATTATTCATTCTAACTTCAAGATATCTCATATAATTTTCTTTATATGATATTTTATAAACTTTAGAAGATATCCTTTAAAGTATATAAAAAACTAGAATATATAAGATATCTTATAAAAACTTATGGTAATGTTCTTTACAAAGCACAAAAATGTCGGTATTCACCTCAAAAACTAACCAAACCTTTAAACAGATTTATTCAGTAGGGATATAGTTAAGATACTGTTGTCATGTCATTGAAGATGGCATATTTTGGTATTAATAATGATTCACTCAAAGGGTATTTGCATCGGAATTAAACACATTTGCTCTAAAACCAGTTGTTGGCACGATACGGTTATATTCTTCTCATAATTATATTTTATGATGGTATGATACTAAACCCCTAACGGGAGCTAGGGTTGCTCGATTTTCATATGATGAAGACATAATCTTTCAATCAGTTTAATTGAAGTCTGGAGCTGGCATGTCAGTAACTGCTAGAAGTCCTTTGTTAATTTATGTATCATTGTCATTTTGCTTACCTATTCTGACATCGGACTCGGACTTCTTTTAAACTGAGTTTTACTGTGCGTATTGTTGTGTGTTTGTTTATTCTACATTGGATAGAGGTATAGGGGGAGGGTTGAGATCTCACAAAACATGTTTAACCCCGCCGCATTTTTGCGCCTGTCCCAAATCAGGAGCCTCTGACCTTTGTTAGTCTTGCATGTTTTTTAATTTTAGTTCATTTATATGTTTTGAAGTTTATTATGACGTTCATTTTCACTGAACTAGTACATATTTTATTTAGGGGCCAGCTGAAGCCCGCCTCCAGGTGCGGAATTTTCTCGCTGTGTTGAAGACCCATTGGTGGCCGTCGGCTATTTTCTGCTCTTTGGTTGGGTTGTTGTCTCTTTGACATATTCCCAACTCAATTTTATAGATTATATAAGATGTATTATAAAGTATATAAGATATCTTAAATATATTTTTTATATAAGATATCTTATATATATACTTTATACGATATCTAATATATTTTAAAAGATATCTCATATAGTTTATAAGATATCTATATCTTATAAAGAAAATTATATGAGATATCTTATCAATTATATGAGATATCTTATAAACTATATAGGATATCTTATAAATTTTATAAGATCTTATAAAGTTTATGAGATATCTTTTAAAGTTTCTTAGATTTCTTGAAGTTAGAATAAATAGTAAAATGGCTTGCCATAGTACATCCTAATTTTGGTAGAGAAGACTACTCAGAAGACTTACATCCCAGCTCCTTTGTTCTACCAGGGGTGATCTGAGCCGGATCACCCATGCCAGATCACTCTAGCTTGAGGTTCTTTGTTCTGCATGCTTTCCTTTGTTCTGTAACATTTTGGCGGGAACGTCAAATCCACAATAAAACTTAGAAATATTTTTTCGGAAAAGACAAAATTTGTGTAGAAAAAATCCAGTATCTATGCTGGGAATCGAACTCAATACCTTTAGCATATAGACCCACGAGTCATACCCATACACCAGGACGACTGGATACAAACTCCCTGTTAATTTAACATATTTAAACATTGTGTTCGGGGCTCATAAAGGGTATATACAATATAGTAATATGTAAAGTATATTATAATGATTGTGTGGCGTTCTAAACTAGATTTTATGAAGCGTAAATGGATTTTTATCTAATCTAGAACATCTGGGATGTAAAATAGTTATCCAATATGGACTTGGTATGTCACTGTAAGATCACCCTCTGGCCTCCGGCCATCGGGATGATCTTACACTGACACACCGCGTCCTCATGGGATAACTATTACTGAATTGCACTTACACCAAGGGGCCTATATTTTATCACTAGACTAACAACACAGATTGTGAGTTCGAATCCTGCACGTGGCAGGTCGACTCCAATCTTAATTGACAAGATTGCCAGTTTTCTACCAAAGGTAGGCAGTTCTCTCCGGGCACCCCGGCTTCCTCCATGCACCAATAAAAAATATATATCCAATAAAAAAGAGAAATAGTAAGTTTACAATAAAAGATAAAACATAAATAAACTGATTTTGATAGTTTGTTCATATGTTGTACTGTTACACCACTGTCCCAGGTTAGGGGAGGGTTGGCCGCCAGCTAACATGTTTAATTCCACCACATTCTGTATGTGTCTGCCCCAAGACAGGAGCCGGTACGTAATTCAGTGGTTGTCGTTTGTTGCTGACTATCATGTTTGTTTTTGTTTATTATTTTGTACATAAACAAGTGTGGACACAGATCAGTGTGGATAGTATGATTGGATGTTTGACAGTGTTTTATATGACAAAACAAGGATTTGTATAGTGAGAAGGATTGGAATCTCGCGGTATATCGACACTTCTCGCGTATCGTGAGATGTTGCGTACTCGCCACTATACATTGCTACTCGCCTGTATGTGTAAATATCCGGTTATATCGCTTGGTTGACAACGTTATGAACACACACAATTATTTTGCTTTCTTTATGGTAAGCTACGCTCTATTTACGATATTTTGTTGAGACTTAACGATGAAATAATTCTTATTTCTCTTAAATTACAAAGTGATTATTACCTAAATCGACCAAAAGGAACTGTTGGCGTTTATAAAGTCTATCTCTGCAATTTTCGTATTAAAAATGAAGTTTGTAAATTTTATATTCATGCCGGTAAAAGATTAAAGTTGAATATTCCCCCTCATGTGACCGCAGTTTTGATAGTCCAATATTATCATCTTGATGATCATTTACTCAAAGAGGTAGATGAAATACTTATTTGATTGTCGCAGCTTGTTGTTTGACTTTCTGTTTTTATAAATACGGATTATTTTTTTTTAAATAGTTCTTTGTTATTCAATTAAGCAAGGCACTGCTTGTAATTGGAATATATTTTTGTGGTGATTAGATTAATTAGGTAAAGAATATATATAATTAAATAATTTACAACCTTTAATCTCAGACATTACATTTAAATAAAAAAAGAATTAAGATGATTAATCAAATGAAGTCTTTGATCTCAATATCAGAACAAGCTAAGATATATTATAAAATGGGATATTTATTTATCAACTTTCAGTTAAAATTATCATTCAATGTTACAACCATGTCAGATTTTTTATCTTGGGACCAAGATATTGACCTTGATCTTTTGTTAGGTGAATTTACTGAGTATGATCCAGAACCAAGTGACAGTGATGAAGAATGTTACAATGCTAAAAAGAAAAAGTCTGAACCTGTACCAGATGCATGTAGTAAACCATCATACAGTTGCCCTGTGTGCAAAAAGACTCTGAAAACAATTTCAGGCTTCCGTGGTCATGTCCAGAAACAACATGGACAAAATCTGAGAGCAACAGACCATCGCACACATGCAGATAGTAAACTACCTAGCACTGTGGTCCGTGACTCTTTAAATGAAAGTTCATTTGCTGAAATATTCCCTACAGCTTTGCAGTCCAGTTTGTCTAACATTGCTAATGATCCATTTACTATCAATGACAGTATTACCGACATATGCAAATTTGTGACCAATTCAGCACTAGTGCAAGACATTTTGTTGAAATATTTCCAACATATTTTTGTTGTACCAACAAGCAACATATCTTCCTCATGTGACAGAGAGCAGATGTTTCGCCGTTTACATATAAGTAGAGTTAATCCAGAATTAACAAAGACTTTTGGCTCACATTGTCCATCTCATTCATTAAACTCTATTAACTTATTTCTACAGATGGTACATGAAGATATTGTTGGTGAAATTTTTAAAGTTCAGACAATGACAGCTGTACATAAATCAACAACAGATCAGCAAAAGTTAACCGAAAATGACCAAAGCATTCTGTATTATATTGCTGGTTACACCATTCGTGCCCTACAGAAGAGATACACCAGGTACTCTACTAAGAAGTTGTCCGTCATTAATAAATTTACAGACAATTCCTCTTGTGTTAACTTTGTGAAAACATATGACAAGTGGTACAAGACGCAAGACCGTGGTGGCCTTCAGAAACCATCAGATTCCCTATTTTTATTAATTCGTGAATTAGAGACAGTTATTCGTAAAACAGTTCAGCCTTCATACAGTGCTAGTTCGCTTCTTATTGATCCTTTAAAAGAAGCTATGATGGAAGCGTTCATGGTGAAACATTATTGTGACATCCTTATGCAAGGTGAAACTGCAGATATTGTGTCAACTATAACTGAAGACATCATTCATTTGTTTTTAACCATCCGTGGCTTTGCTGTTACTCGTATAGAACGAAATAAACTGACCAAACAAGCAAAATCTCAAACATCATCCAGTCTAAGACAAGCCTTGAAAGGGAAATCTTTAAATTGTTGACACTGTGAAATTTACTTTTGTGTCTGTTCACACATGAAATGTAATGATTATTTAAATTATTTCCACATGATCTTGATGTAACTGTTGTTTGAACATGGATGATATTTAAAAAAAAGTGAAATATATACATGTCTTTTTATTTATTGTCTTTCATAACACTGCTTTACAACTACTTACTACTGTAAACTCTAAAATATTTCACTTCGAACATAAAAAATATGTTAAACATGCGTAAAAGGAGATGTGAGGTACAAACATATCAATGAGACAGCAACCCAACAACCAAAATAACTAAAAGAGAATTTAGCCATATATTATTTCTCACAGCATTACATCTATGTGTTTACCCTATTCAAATTACGTATGTGTGTTATTTTTCAATGAGACAGCCATCCAACTACAAAAATTATCTCAAATACATCATTTTAAGGGCAGCATACGGCCTTCACTAAACAGGAACAATATAAGGTCTGCAACAAATGAGAGACGAAATGAATTTATTTGTATCCACGATCACCATCAATATTCTGTCAATGTAAGATAATAAATAAGAACAATTGTTGTACTTGAACCTTAATTTCTGTGTCATTTGGTCTCTTGTGGAGAGTTGTGTCATTGGCAATCATACCACATCTTCTTTTTTACATTATGAGCAAAACAAAGAAAAATGACACAAATATAAATACAATTTTGGTGAACATTGAAATCTGGTGGATATATAGTTGTCTCATTGTCCATGTTGTCATTCATACGACTCTTATTTTTATATCATTTAAATTAATGGATACTTGTCTCATTTGCAATCATGTATCATTTCTCATGACGACCACAGCCAAATGTGGGAAGCCAACATGAATGGAACACTGTGACCTATTAAACTATCAGGGACACATACAACTTTATGTACTTAAATTTATTCTGGATAGCTGTAATAACAGAACTTTGTTCTTGCTGAAAAGATTTATTTACAAATAATGTCAAATTATAATACAAGCATGTGACAAACACTACATTTTCTAAATCTCTTAATTTCTACACATTCACAACATAATTTTTCAAAAAATTGTACAAATATTATTGGCGCAATAAAAAAAACATTAAAATTATCATACATGTATATACACAATTTATTTCACAAATTTGTTTACTCAAAAACTACACGAATTAATTACATTTTTAAAGACAGAAACATGTGAGAGAAAAAATAGTTAACTTCAATTTCACTAAACTAAAAATATAATAAGCATGATAAAAACTATTTTTTTTCTTGTCTTAAATATTATTTCCTGTATAGTTTAACATGTTTAAGTTAACATAGAAAAATTAGAAATAAGTATAAAATGCAAAAAGGTTTATAAATAACTATTAACTGTCAATGACTGTATTGAGTATTGCATCTTGTCAAAAACACCAAATCCTTCATGTACGGTAAATATTTAGATGACAAATAGGAACACAACAAATAATCACAAACAGTGTTTAATATCTCAAATTTGCACACACATATGTGTTAGTAAAAATGTTCATCATACCACGGAAAACTCTATCAAATGCATGGACTGAACTACAAATTCAAGACTTGTTCGATTTGTACAACTCTTGATTCAAATATAGAATTTTTTGGTGAAATCAATTACTTAGGCCATAAAAATAAATATTAAAACTTGCACCCTTACAAATGTTTGTCTCAAAAGGTACATTGTAATCATTGAGAGTATCCTTTTCACTATTTCACAAGCATCAATGGTTTACTAAGACTATTTTTAGTATATACTATAAAGCATACCAGCAATCATACATGTACATGTATGTACCATGTGTACAGTACACTTTTCAAGTTTACATTTTGTACATGTAAATGTTTATAAACTACCAAACACTCATATACTGTAATTAGAATTGCATAAAAAAAAAATACCACATTAATTGGAAATAAATACATATATATAACAGGCATACATGTAAATTATACTTGTACAAAAAGACTTCTTGCATTAATAAAATTAATATGTTCTGCGCTTAGGTAGAGAAGTGTTATCAATCACAAAGTTCCTGTCTCTCTGGTTACTGACATTTCCTCGTTTGGGTGCCAAAGCTTGAGCTCCAACCGCTCTCATCGAGGTCATCATATGACGAACATCATTCACTGTAGGGTTGTTATTGTCCCCAACCCTGTGTCGGTAGTGTCCAAAATGTTGTTCCAAGGGATCTTGGTTAAAATGATGTGTGAGGACAAACTTGGCGCCAGATTCTAATAGAAATTTAACACAGTCTACAATTGAAAACACGCTGATTTTAAAACCTGCCAATGTTTGATGACTCAATAGCATTCCTTTGCGTTGTTTCCTTGTAAAATTACCAGCTCTTTGCATCACCGATTGTTCCCAGGAATCAAAGTACTTAATAAAATCTACTCTCAACCAATGTAATCTTTCATCATTGACAGTTGTAAATGGTTCAAGGTCAGGATTTCTCTTATTTCTACCTTCATATAGGTTTCTAACATTCAAACAATCAAAAAATTTGTTCATAATTCTGATGAAATTTACTGTCTCGGTTACATTATCTCCATACATCATTTCAAGGGCATTGGCTACTGTGGAGCTCAAAACTTGTGCTGCAATGTTGACTTTCATGTAACCATAGGTTGTCATGTCAAGGTGACTTCTTGTCAATTTTGGACACGGACTGTAGAGTGATAGTTCGCAATGGTCTTCAAACAATTTCAACAGATGCATCCACGAAATATCTTTCCCATCTTTCCACATTTTTCTTGTGTTTTTGTGTGAATAAGAATTGCTGAAACAGTTTCTAGTTGTTTTCACAAGATGGGGAACATCTGAGATGAAATAAAGTTTCCTTTCGTCATCGGCATAAGGATTGTTTGTGTAATGAATAAATTCATTCACCTGTCCATGTATGTTGAAGAACTTCCTATTTGCAGATGCACCATCACAAGTCAGAAAGAGTACTTTTAGTTGAGCAAAGCCAGTTTCTAAAATGCGTATAGCCTTCCAAATAATCGGATACAGAAAGTCAGCAGTAATACTTAAGGTAGCAAAGCCTGCTAAAGGGAATTTCAAGTCTGTGGCAACACCTCTCACCATTAACACAAGCATGTATTTGGCAATGTCTGAATCTGTCTCTGTAGTACTTGTATCTTTCATATTTCTTTCAAAGTTCATAATCTGGTTTCCGACCTTATCTAGATTGCAATATCCAATTAGTTCGCCACTATGCTTATCGTACACTAAGTCAGATTTTACTTTGATTTCATCAAAAAGAAGTCCAACAAAATTCTTCCACGGATCAACTTTACTGTACATGTCTCTTTTTGAAGCCTCATTTTTCAATTCTTTCACTACATCTGGCAAAAATCCATTGTCACTTTTAGTGTAATGAGAATAATCGAACAATGTCCTTGAACTTGGAAGAGTAATGAAACCAGAATCTCTTAAAGCCTCGTATGCTGTACTTGATTTGTGACGCAAGTACAAACACCATCTCAATATCATTGGGTGCCATCGCATACCCTTCAAGGACTTCACATTAGTGCTTTTTTGTTGTTCTGCCCAGAAAAGGCGTTGATACGAATTGGCATCAGGAAAGGCTTTCATTATTTCCGTTGAACATGCTGCCATAGTATCTTGCTTTTCAAGTGACTGACAGAAGTCTAATGTAACACCTCTACTACTAACCTCACGTTGAAACTTGCGTTGTGTTTTGTCAATTTCACTCTGCAGGGTTGTAATCTTATCTTTCTGCTGGTGAATTTTGGTGATCAATTCATGTCGAGACATCTTGGTATGTCCTATAGTACTACACAAATAATTTGGTACATTTTCCTTACTTTTTCTCTCTTTCTCTTCTCTTCTGTGCTTTTGACTTATCAACACTCTTCGTAATTGACTACATGGTGAACATCTGTTTCCCTGCACGAGAAGTAAACAGTTCATGCTTCGTACTGTGGACGAGTAAGAAATGGTACCTTTCACTGCCTCAAAGTCACCTTCTCTAAAACCTTGACTACTTGCAGAACCTTCTGCGTTCTCGACAGAGGTGCCAACTGGTATGAAAGCCATTAAATCTGCCTCGAAATTTCCTGTACACACAGAATAACTCTGTAATTTTGAAAGTAAAGACTGGATATGTTTAACACTGTCAAAAACTCTTGGTAAACCAATCCATAGGTCATGGTCTTGGCTAAGCTGGATTCTATGGACAAATACTTTGGCAAAAAAATCTCTATTTATCATCACATTCAATTTGACAGATATTTTTTCCTCGGAAGGATATAAGAGCATTATCTTGATAGAATCACTGGTTGTGTGTAGAACATATGGTGAACTAATGCAACCACTCTGGACAACATCTTGCTTAAGTTTATCGAATGGTTCTGTAATTGATACTGTTGCTACTTCTTCTTCATAGGATGTACATTCTATGTCCCCTACAGGCTCAGCTGTGTACATAGTAAAGTCAGGGTCAATCCTTTCTCCACGCACTTCTACTTCTTCTTTAAGACATAACTGAACTATTTCCTCGTTCGGCATACAATATGAATGGTCATTATGCAAGTCAGTAGATAGGACTTTCTTACGCTTTCTCTGTGAAGGAACATCCCTCCTTTTCCTTAACTTTGGCATTCTGCAAATTAACAATAACAGAAATTGTAAATCAAATTTTCAAAGCCAATTGGGTTGGCATAAAGTTATGGTTAACAAGGTTAATATTGATTTTATTTTTAAGCCATAATAATTTGCCTAATACGGTTTCCCTTATTTCCCCTTTAGGTTAAATGAATGTAAAATGTAAGGTGGTCTCTATTGGGCCAAAATTAAAATTAAATTGGTTTATGATGCCTAACAACCAACCTGAAAAGCATTTTTTTTTTAAAGATATTGTCATGCTTTACGATTGTTTTCTTTAGAAGCAAAATAAAAAAGATGAATGTGTGGTTCTAGTAACATCTTAAAAAAAAAAGTTTGGGTGAAGGTAGGTAGGGTGTTTTTTTTTACATTTAGTCTATAGACGGGAGCAACATTCTGACTTTAACAATGAAAATGAAAAAAAAATCTTTAGGGTAGGCTATTATTAAGACTAAATAGTAGGGTAGGTAGAGTAACTGGAACCACACATGATTTTTTTTTTTTTATTTGGCCATACAAGTTTTAAACATGTCACTTAAGTTGTTTGCCTAAAAAAATACTGACCTACCTACCCAACCCTGTAAGGCATGTGTAGGCAACATCAAACAATTTTTTTCTCAAGGGTGACTATCAAAATTAACAATAAAGAAACATCTACCTACAGCCTCAATGTTTCTAGATTAAAAGTGGAAACCCTAAGCACATGTACATATTACATCGTATTGTGGTTGTTTGACCTAATAATAATTTCAATTTTTACACCATTTTTCTTGATCTTTACGCCTATTGGTCAAATTCTCATGAAAATGATTTGACAAAATTTTTACAATTTCATGTAATCTTAAAATTTCTTTTATTCTATACCTGATTCACTACTGTATAAATCAGTGTAATATTACCTCCTTCTTTTATCTTGCATAATTATTCTTTATAATTTTGCACCCCATTGTTCCCTATTTTAGCATATTTTTCACTAATTATTATTTCAATTGGCATTATTCTCTAGTCTGTAAATTTATAAACCCCATTCAGACCCTCTTCTGTAATAGGGGAAAACAAAGGTGGTACTTCCCATATATGTACATCATAATACCATCTGTTGCTTAATTAATACACAGGGTATTATTTAAATCACCAGTCTGAATGGTACATGGAAATCCTGGTTACAGGTAAAGTGTCTCAGGTACATTGTAAATGCACATGTATGTCAGGAAAATAACATGTGTTTGACAAATTTCTTATTTGATTTTACAGTGGACAAGATTTGTAAAATGATACAAATCCTTGACTAAAGACTTAAAAATAGAATAAAAAATAAAAAATAATGTAACAACCAAACATGCTAAATGAACTTAATATTAATAAAAATATAAAGGGCACTTTTACAAAAACTAGCCTCGTAACCTCAGTTCTATCAGGAGCGGATCCAGCCATTCTTAAAACGGGGTTTCCAATCCAGGAGAAAAGGGGGTACTAACTATTTGTCCCCTTTCAAATGCATTGATCGCCCCAAAAAAGGGGGGTTTCAACCCCCCCCCCCCCCCTGAATTCGACACTGTCTACCATGTCTATATATAAAGACTCCTTTATGAGGTAAACTTTTTTTTTAGACATATATGCACAATGATATATATGAGATTTGAGCTTCAGAATCAAGAATTATTTTTAGTAGGCTTGTTTAAACTATATCATGATCAATATGTCCTTGTCTTGTCGTATAGCATGTATAGAGGTAATACATATCCATGAAACTACTTTTAAAGTTTTGCCATGTTCCCTGGGCAAATCCATGGAATAACTTACAATGCATGATGCAGTACTATATATATATATACATCTATATGGGTTGACAATTATTTACTGATAAATAACACATTTTTAAAGATTGCTGGAAAAGCATTAGTTCCATATACATGTACATGTATGCTCAGAATAAATAATGATTGTGTCTGTTTTAAAATAATATCCTATTTGAGTACTAAAACCACAGCCACTAATGATAGTATTTATATTGATTTCAGTCACAACTTCAGGATTTAAGATGAGTAACAACAAAGAAGGCACCTGTCTTTTGTGTTACATGTATTAACTTTTTATCCATTCATGCCATTTAAAGTAGGTCTTTTTGTCATGATGGGATATTTTTCTTTGCATATTTCAAAAATGTCTAAATCAAAATTGACTTGTCTCTATTTCAGATACAGGTACAAATGTATAAACTGAACACAAAAAAAAAAACATTGACTGATGAATCGGGAAAATGAGGATTAAGATCAGATGAAACCGGCTCGACTGACATGTACATCATCATGCCATACACCAAATATACATGTAGTTGACCTACTGCTTACAGTATCTGAGAAACAGAGTTTATCATAAAACTTTTACCTATTTCATTGATCCATGAAATGAGTTCTACATCATGTGAACCCTGTCAGACATGTACAAATGTACACATTGCAAGGAACCATATACCAAATATTGAGATACCCTATCACTCATAATAAGTCAGAAATTCACAATCCAAAAAAAATCTATTTTTTTTCAAACAGTATTTTATTTGTTTTACATTGTCATTTCGGGGCCTTTTATAGCTGACTATGCTGTATGGGCTTTGCTCATTGTTGAAGGCCGTAGGGTGACCTATATTTGTTAATTTCTGTGTCATTTGGTCTCTTGTGGAGAGTTGTATCATTGGCAATCATAACACATCTTCCTTTTCATACATGTAGTAAATGAACCATGAAATTGAGGTCAAGGACAATGGACATGACAGACGGAAGCTTTATAACATATTGGATCTGTATACAAATTATGCAGCCTCCACATTTCTACCCTCTGAAACATAAAGCTTATCACACATAGTTTATGGAGCCACCCATAATTATCCATCTGTGTTAAGTACTTAATCATAACAGAAGTGAAAATATTTACCTGGCTATTATCTACAGAAATATTTCTATCTTTAGAGCGATGATGTACCAATAAAGGCTCAAGAAATCTTGAAATATGAAACCTGAAAGTAAAAATTTAAAGTTACTTCATGTACTTAATGAAAATGTAACATAACAGTTTAAAACAGGGTTCTCACTAAGGATTTTTGAAGGCAAGTCACTTAGTCTTGGATCAGTCCAACAGTAAGAAGATAATATTTTATAGCAATATAATTTAACATTTAAGTCTCCATTATCTAATAGAGAAATGAAATGACATTAAATTCAGATAACTTTTGCCACATTAAAAATGATAATATGTGTGTTCAGTTCAATTAAAATATTTAAATCTTGATGCTTCTTTAAATTTGGTCTCGCCAGTTTTTGAAAATGGTGAGTCCAGAGAGTTTTTCATGAGTCCAGTACTCACACACTCGCCTTAGTGAGAACCCTTTAAATTTGATAACACATAAGAAATCCCAGGGATCAAGGATAGGATAATTTCTCTTACTTTCTGTTTAATCAACCTAAACAAAATGGTTGTTTTCTGAAATTATCTTTAACCAAAATTTTGTATATATAAATCGTTGCTTTATATAGATATAGGAAGATGTGGTATGAGTGCCAATGAGACAACTCTCCATCCAATCTACAATTTATAAAAGTAAACCATTATAGGTCAAGGTACGGCCTTCAACACGGAGCATTGGCTCACACCGAACAGCAAGCTATAAATTAAAGGGCCCCAAAAAATTACTAGTGTAAAACCATTCAAACGGAAAAACCTATTATAAATTTATATATATATATATATATATATATAAAACAAGTCTAAATTGAAAACAACGTTCAAACCTATGATTGATTTGGATAAAAACCGCAATTTTTTTTTACGTGTGCATGTAAAACAAATTTCTTGGTAGAGGGGTCTAACTACAGCACAAACAACATTTTCCAAAAGATCAAAAAAGTGAAAAGTATATTTTAACAAAACGCATTTGACCAACAGGTCGAACAACTGATGTTATTAAACCCTGCTGACTGCCATTGACGATTGCCAAATAAATTGATCACCAGATGTAACCATAGGAGGATCCCCGGGGGGGGGGGGCCTCGGGCCCCCCTTTTGTGGGAAAAATTTGGTTGATTATATAGGGAATCACTGAAGCATGACTGGAGCGGGCGCCCCCCCCCCCCCCTTATGAAAAGTTCTGGATCCGCCACTGGTAACATGGATCTTATATTTAATTAAATACCAAACAGAAAACAATAAACTTGCAGAGAAGATGGTATACCGCAAACATGAGGTGCAAAAATTTGTACACCATATCCAGATTTTGACAATTACTGTCTCTTCAGTGATATTAGGGATCGAAACGGTATTTGGAAGGCCATATAATTTACCTCAATTTAGGATAGACTCTGGAATTTTAAAGAGTATAGGACATGTAGGATATATATATATATATATATATATATATGGCATGGCAATAGGCATATCTATGTGTAAATGAAAATAAATATCATGTCTTAACAAAATTTGAAAAAGTAAGGAGTGAAAAATACAAATAAATATTTATTCTGCATTCAATCATATCAATGATTGTCTAAAAAAAAAATGAAATGCTTAAGCTTGTTTCTCAGTGTCTGAAATAAATGTCCTCTCAAAAATATACATTGTACTGTACAATGTATTGTTCTACTCTGAAGTATAAGAAATGATCTAGACACCTGACACCTTCAAACATTTCAAATAGTGAGCCCTGATATTATTTTTGTATTAGTTATTTATTTTATATAGATGCATTTCACAGAAATCATACTGTTGTTGGAAACTTTTGAAAGAAAATTGACCATTACAGAAAGATTTGATAAATATATATATAAAATAAGATAAGATAAGTTTGTATATATATACTTGTATAAGGAGGGATGTACATGTATGTAATACATACATACATACTGACAAAATCTTGACATATACATGTACATATAACAAAACATTACAAAAGGGGGACAAAAAATACCAGAGGGACAGTCAAACTCATAGATTCTGTTTTTCAGAGCCGCACTACAGCACACACATGTGCACTTGAGCACCTTTCTTTTATCATTTCGACACTGAACTATATCACGTTGTAGTCTCCTTCTGATTATATACATGTACCTGAGTAATTTTATTTA